ATCACATGAACATGGATCTTCCTTTATAGTGCTGATAGCACCAAAGATGAAGTGGGAAAAGCTGTTAAAATTGGAGCCGACTTGCTCTCGAAAAGAGATTTCTTCACAAAAATCTATTTTACAGTTTCCCCTCTTACCCCAAATGTGGTAGAAGAGTCGAGACATGGTTGCTGCTTCTTTTTGCGCTGGAGCTGCAGAAATATAGCAGGGATGAAATTTCAGCTACTGTAAAATGGTCAAACATAGCGTCATATCGCTGCTGACGGAACCAAACCTCGTATCTCTAGAATGGTAACTTTACAGGAGAAGGAAAAACCTGCTTTACTTTCAATGGAAGTCAATGGAACCAGACATTTTTCCAAGTCATTTTGGGCTTTTTCTATTGGTCCATTCATCATGACATTTGTGTACAATGTAAAGGGCAACAGGCATTTTCAAATTATGACAAAAACTGAAATACGATTACAGATACGAGGTTTTGTTTAGATAGCAGTGATATACAATAACAAAGTGTCCAAATCAAAGACTTTATTATGCCACACTGTTTAAGGTGGACTGGAAAATTTTAAAAAGAAGCTGGTAAACAAGAGGCATTTTGTGGGTTCTACGATTCGTTGGACACCATTACATCATATAACGTAAAACTTAGAACGTAAAATATGAAGGAATTCATTGACCGGCCGTTCTCTGTTGTCGAGGATGTTGGGTTACGTCGCACATCCTGTAGCCTGGAATGCCATAGCAATGAGCTTGCAACGCCTTAGCAACCATCTGGAATGGTTTCTTGGGATAATATAGCAGCAGCTTGCCAATGCCCTAGCAACCACCTGAGATACTGTAGCAATGGCCCAGCCACCCTATAGCAACTACGTGGGATAATATAGCAGCAACTTAGCAATGCCCTAACAGCCTGTAGCAATGGCCTAGCAACGTCTTACCACCTGGGATACTGTAGCAATGGCATAGCGATACCTTAGCAACCACCTGGGATAACATGGCAATGGCCTAGCGACACCTTAGCAACCACCTGGGCTAACATAGCGATAGCATAGCAACACCTTACCAACCACCTGGGGCACTGCAACAATGGCCAAGAACACCTTAGCAACCACACCTGGGATACTGTAGCAATGGCCTAGCGACACCTTCGCAACCACCTGGCATAACATAGCAATAGCATAGCAACACCTTACCAACCACCTGGGGCGCTGCAACAGTGGCCTAGCAACACCTTAGCAACCACACCTGGGATAACATAGCAATAGCATAGCAACATCTTAGCAACCACCTGGGATAATGTAACAATGGCCTAGCGACACCTTCGCAACCACCTGGGATAACATAGCAATAGCATAGCAACACCTTAGCAACCACCTGGAGCACTGCAACAATGGCCTAGCAAAACCTTAGCAATCAAGTGTGATAACATAGCAACAGCCTTGCAACACCTTAGCAACCACCTGGGATACTGTAGCAATGGCATAGCAAAACCTTAGCAACCAAGTGTGAAAACATAGCAACAGCCTTGCAACACCTTAGCAACCACCTGGGATACTGTAGCAATGGCATAGCAAAACCTTACCAACCATGTGTGATAACATAGCAACACCTTAGCAACCACCTGGGATACTGTAGCAATGGCCTAGCGACACCTTAGCAAGCAGCTGGGATAACATAGCAGTGGCCTAGCAACACCTTAGCAACCACCTGGGATACTGTAGCAATGGCATAGCAAAACCTTAGCAACCAAGTGTGATAACATAGCAACAGCCTAGCAACACCTTAGCAACCACCTGGGATACTGTAGCAATGGCCTAGCGACACCTTAGCAACCACCTGGGATTTTATAGCAACAGCTTGTGAAGCCAACTTAACATTCATCCACAAACTTCCCTGTTATTAGCAATGCTAATAATGCTAATGAGTCACTTGTTAGCTACATTAGCCTCGTAGCTCCAGTGCAGAACTGAAGACACCAAACACGTCTTGGCCTGTCGACAGCGTTTGATCCGAGTGGGAAACTGTACAATGGATTATTTTCACCAAATTATCAGCTGGAGCTGCTGAACAAACTCAAATTTGGCTCCAGTTCCAAAACTGTTCACTGCCAAAGCGTTGAAGCCTAAACTCGTTTCAGATCTGTGGCATTGATCATCCATCATAGCTGTGAATACGTCAGATTCTGTCTCCGTCTAATGGAACAAGCGCTCACTAAGCGTTTATATAGAGCTGATTACTACAAGGATTGATTATAATCCTCATTTCTGATGTTCTGCGTTCTTAAAGAGCACAGCGCGTTACGTTACTGGACCCTTTTCAGCTTTATAGTCGTACTTTATTGTCGTATAACCGCTAAATCTCTGTGTTTCTTATTTTACTGACTTGCCGTAATGTATCAAGTGCTTGTAAACCAGTAAACTTGGTTGTTGAAGATGGGAAAAGAGGAGTGTGAAAGGAATAGTCCAGTGTTTTTCAACCTGAAACGTGCCTGTTCAGAACTCCTTCATAATAAAAGCCAATGGGCAGTTGCTCCCCACTAGTTTCTATTGTAAGTACATTTTGCGTCAATGGTTTTCATTTCTGAGATCGGGAACCTTATTGAACTTGTTGTTTATAGTAAGTGACCATACATGACCGATGCATCACATAGAGATTAGGTTTAAAAATGTTGGAGCAGCCCTTTAAATCGCACTTATGCTAGCAGCTGCCCATTGACTTCTATTATAATTATGTTTTTATTCAATGTTTTCATTTATTTTCCAAATACCGAGAAACATTTTGCAATTATTCTCTGTGGTGATCAACTACATTCTACAGATACACAGCTAGAGATTAATTTGAAAAATGTTGGAGTACCCCTTTAAAACTTTATAATAGAAGCCAATGGGCAGTTGCTACCCATTGAGTTCTACTGTAGATGAGTTTTGAGTCAGCAGGTTTTGATTTATTTTAAAAGTACTGAGAAACATGTTAAACTTATTCTCTGTGCTAATTGATCCTATATCATAGATACAACAGATAAGGATTAGGTTGAAAATTTTCGAGTACCCCTTTAAAACTCGCTTATAATAGAAGTCAATGGGCAGCTGCTACCCATTGGATTCTATTGTGACTTTTGAGTTACCCGGTTTTCTTTTAGTATCTAAGTACAGGGAAATATGTTCAACTTATTCTCTGTGGTAAATGATCCTGTTGTGTCGATAAACAAATGGCGGTTAGGTTGGAAAATGTTGGAGTTGCCCTTTAAAATTGGGTTATAATGGAAGTCAATGGGCAGTTGCCGCCCATTGGATTCTATTATAAGTGAGTTTTAAAGGGCTGATCCTAAGCAGATGTGAGAGTGTTCCTTTAAGTCACAGTAGCCTTAATGAGTCATCCAGTACATAATTAAGCAATTTAAGGTAAAAAGTAACTGTCTTCTTTGAACTTTATCCTAACGAGCAAAACCCTGAATGCTAGTTATTGCATTACCGCACAGCTCGAATATGCTGATGTTACACTTTCTTTTATGTGTCCTCGTGTCTTAACGGCCGTTCGGCGTCACTAAACCATGTTACTCAGCGAAAAACATGCTCGCACTTCCACCAGGGAGCGGGTGCGGCTGTGAAGCGCTGCTAGCTGCGCTCGGGTCGGGTGTTTTTAGAGGTTTTATTGTGATCCGTTTGGCTTAATGTGCCTGTAATAATGTGTTTGCCTGTGTGTGTCTGTGGGCGCTGGCTGAATGTTTACTCAAAGAGCGTGGTCAGCTGTCGACCAGGATGTTTAGCCACAATCTCCTTGGAAGCTTTTTAAATAAAGGATGGTGGAGTTAATCTGTGTCCAGTCTGATTTCTCTGTTTACATCCCTTTAAAAGGCCCAAATCTTATATTTCAGTATTTTAGTTCACTTATAATGTTTGTGTGTGTATATATACTAATCATTATCATCTTGGACATACACACACGCTACATTTGTTACTGTGCCTTTTAGAAAGGTATATGCAAATTAGCTCTGTTCTGATTGGCTGTGCCACATTCAGAAAGCAGTCTGGGGCTGAAACACCCCTTATAACTATAGTGAGGATGGGCAGACATATGTAAATGTGTTGGTTTTTGTGACATCACAAACAGGCTGTGTTTGCAGCTTTATTTCTGTATATGAACCGTATGGACTGAGGAGTGAGCAGTGCATTTGAAACTTTAACAGTGTTTATGTTCTACAACAATTGTGTTTTTTTTAAGTGAAGACACTATTAATAACTTTTTTTAAATAAATTTAAACCACATCTCTATTTGCTGTTTTAAAAATGAATGTACAATATAACTAGAAACGTTTGATTATCTGTTGAGTCTGTTTACTGTGTGAGATTAACTGTTGAGTCTGTTTACTGTGTGAGGTTAACTGTTGAGTTTGTTTACTGTGTGAGGTTAAGTGTTGAGTTTACATTGATGGGTTTGTTTACTGTGTTGGCTTTGTGTACTGTGTGAGGGTAACTGTGTTGGGGCTTTTTACTGTGAGAGTAGCACTGTTGGGTTTGTTTACTGTATTTGGTTTGTGTACTGTGAGAGGGTAACTGTTGGGTTTGTTTACTGTGTGAGGGTAACTGTGTTTTCTTTGTTAACTCTCTGAGGTTAACTGTGTTGGCTTTGTTTATTGTGTGAGGTTAAGAGTGTTGGGTTTTTGGGCTGTGTTGGCTTTGTTTACTGTGTGAGGTTAACTGTAAGCTTTGTTTACTGTGTGAGGTTAACTGTGTTGGCTTTGTTTACTGTGTGAGGGTAACTGTGTCAGCTTTTTTTACTGTGAGAGGGTAACTGTTGGCCTTGTTTACTGTGAGAGAATAACTGTCAGCTTTGTTTACTGTGAGAGGGTAACTGTGTTGGCTTTGTTTACTGTGCGAGGGTAGCTGTGTCGGCTTTGTTTACTGTGCGAGGGTAACTGTGCTGGCCTTGTTTACTGTGAGAGAATAACTGTCAGCTTTGTTTACTGTGAGAGGGTAACTGTGCTGGCCTTGTTTACTGTGAGAGAATAACTGTCAGCTTTGTTTACTGTGCGAGGGTAGCTGTGTTGGCTTTGTTTACTGTGCGAGGGTAGCTGTGTCGGCTTTGTTTACTGTGCGAGGGTAACTGTGTCGGCTTTGTTTACTGTGAGAGGATAACTATGTTGGCCTTGTTTACTGTGTGAGGGTAACTGTTGGCTTTGTTTACTGTGAGAGGGTAACTGTGTTGGCCTTGTTTACTGTGAGAGAATAACTGTTGGCTTTGTTTACTGTGAGAGGGTAACTGTGTCAGCTTTGTTTACTGTGTGAGAGTAACTGTGTTGGCCTTGTTTACTGTGAGAGGGTAACTGTGCTGGCCTTGTTTACTGTGTGAGGGTAACTGTTGGCCTTGTTTACTGTTTGGGAATAACTGTCGGCTTTGTTTACTGTGTGAGGATAACTGTGTTGGCTTTGTTTATTGTGTGAGGGTAACTGTGTCGGCTTTGTTTACTGTGTGAGGATAACTGTGTTGGCTTTGTTTACTGTGTGAGGGTAACTGTGTTGGCTTTGTTTACTGTGAGAGGATAACTGTGTTGGCTTTGTTTACTGTGTGAGGGTAGCTGTGTTGGCCTTGTTTACTGTGTGAGGGTAACTGTGTTGGCTTTATTTACTGTCTGAGGGTAACTGTGTTGGCCTTGTTTACTGTGAGAGAATAACTGTCGGCTTTGTTTACTGTGTGAGGGTAACTGTGTTGGCCTTGTTTACTGTGAGAGAATAACTGTTGGCTTTGTTTACTGTGTGAGGATAACTGTGTTGGCTTTGTTTACTGTGTGAGGGTAACTGTTGGCTCTGTTTACTGTGTGAGGTACTGTGTTGGCTTTGTTTACTGTGTGAGGGTAACTGTGTCTGCTTTGTTTACTGTGTGAGGGTAACTGTGTCTGCTTTGTTTACTGTGGAGGGTACTGTGTGCTTGTTTACTGTGGGTAACTGTGTCGCTTGTTTACTGTGTGAGGTAACTGTGTTGCCTTGTTTACTGTTGAGGGTAACTGTGTTGGCTTTGTTTACTGTGTGAGGGTAACTGTGTTGGCCTTGTTTACTGTGTGAGGTTAACTGTGTTGGCTTTGTTTACTGTGTGAGGGTAACTGTGTTGGCCTTGTTTACTGTGTGAGGGTAACTGTGTTGGCCTTGTTTACTGTGTGAGGATAACTGTGTTGGCCTTGTTTACTGTGTGAGGTAACTGTGTCGGCTGTTTACTGTGGGGTAACTGTGTCGGCTTTTTTAGTGTGAGAGGGTACCTGTGTTGGCTTTGTTTACTGTGTGAGGGTAACTGTGTTGGCCTTGTTTACTGTTAGAGGATAACTGTGTTGGCCTTGTTTACTGTTAGAGGATAACTGTTGGCCTTGTTTACTGTGTGAGGGTAACTGTGTTGGCCTTGTTTACTGTGAGAGGATAACTGTGTTGGCCTTGTTTACTGTGAGAGGATAACTGTTGGCCTTGTTTACTGTGAGAGGATAACTGTGTTGGCCTTGTTTACTGTGTGAGGGTAACTGTGTTGGCCTTGTTTACTGTGAGAGGATAACTGTTGGCCTTGTTTACTGTGAGAGGATAACTGTTGGCCTTGTTTACTGTGCGAGGGTAACTGTTGGCCTTGTTTACTGTGTGAGGGTAACTGTGTTGGCCTTGTTTACTGTGAGAGGATAACTGTTGGCCTTGTTTACTGTGTGAGGATAACTGTTGGCCTTGTTTACTGTGTGGGGGTAACTGTGTTGGCCTTGTTTACTGTGTGGGGGTAACTGTTGGCTTTGTTTACTGTGTGAGGATAACTGTTGGCTTTGTTTACTGTGAGAGGGTAACTGTTGGCCTTGTTTACTGTGTGAGGGTAACTGTTGGCCTTGTTTACTGTGTGGGGGTAACTGTTGGCTTTGTTTACTGTGTGAGGATAACTGTTGGCTTTGTTTACTGTGAGAGGATAACTGTTGGCCTTGTTTACTGTGTGAGGGTAACTGTTGGCCTTGTTTACTGTGTGGGGGTAACTGTGTTGGCCTTGTTTACTGTGAGAGGATAACTGTTGGCTTTGTTTACTGTGTGAGGGTAACTGTTGGCCTTGTTTACTGTGTGAGGGTAACTGTTGGCCTTGTTTACTGTGTGAGGGTAACTGTGTTGGCCTTGTTTACTGTGAGAGGATAACTGTCGGCTTTGTTTACTGTGTGAGGGTAACTGTTGGCTCTGTTTACTGTGTGAGGTAACTGTCGGCTTTGTTTACTGTGAGAGGGTAACTGTCGCCTTTGTTTACTGTGCGAGGGTAACTGTGTTGGCTTTGTTTACTGTGCGAGGGTAGCTGTGTCGGCTTTGTTTACTGTGCGAGGCTAGCTGTGTCCGCCTTGTTTACTGTGTGAGGGTAACTGTGTCAGCATTGTTTACTGTGTGAGGGTAACTGTTCACTTTGTTTACTGTGTGAGGGTAACTGTGTTCGCTTTGTTTACTGTGCGAGGGTAACTGTGTTGGCTTTGTTTACTGTTTGGGGGTAACTGTGTTGGCCTTGTTTACTGTGCGAGGGTAACTGTTAGCTTTGTTTACTGTGAGAGGATAACTGTGTTGGCCTTGTTTACTGTGTGGGGGCGCTCGTGAGCGCTCTGAACTCTGCCGCTGTTGTCGCTGTCTAACTGCCGCAGCACCTAAATTGAGAAGATTTGCTGTGAACCTGTGAGCGGAGCGGCATGAACGGAGCGGAGCGGCCCGTTTCTGGGGGCTTTTCTGTGACGCCGACTCTCCTGCGGGGGGGTTAAACCGTTAGGAGACAGATTCATCCCTCAGAGCTGGGCTGAAGTGGGTTTGGCTAAAGGCAGCTAAGTTAGCTCAGTCAGCGACCTGTGAGGAAGCAGAGCAGAGCAGAGCAGAGCAGGGAGGACAACAGCGGAGCCGCTGCTGCTGCTGTCCGTAGGGAAGGGCTGATTTCAGGACTCCGGAAGGGACTTTACCCACGTCACCCACAAAATCCTGAATTTTTCCGGACTGTCATCTCAGCCCGAGGCCTGAATGCCGGTGGGGTCGGGTTGTGTTGTTTATGTAGCCGCTAGCCTCCTATTTACTGAGATATGCAGCCTATAGCTAGCTAACGTTAGCTGGAGTACACGGTAACTGAGGCGTCTGAGGATTTGTCGTTAATTTTAGTGGGAATACGAACCTGGACGGGCTGTAACGGTGTGGTTTTGTGTCCTTATTTTTCGTCTGGTCTCGTTTTATCGTCGCGAGTGAGGATCAAATGTGTGGAGCTGCCTTTGTAAGCAGCGCCAAATCCCTGTTAGCTTGTTTTCCTCCGTGTTTCTCCTCATTAGCTGAGCTAGCTGGCGTTCCGCTCCTCGGTGGTCGAGCTGGTCGCTGAATCGGTTCTGTGTGCCTCGGTTTCTGTCCTGTATGAGGGAGTCAGTATGTCCAGGTGCTGGAGGTCCAGACCCAGACCCTCTGTCCGGCTCTGCCCCCCCGGTCTGGGGTCTGTGGTGTTGCAGGTTTTGTGGTGGTCAGTGTGTTTGGTTCGCTCGGACTCCAGCGTGGTGGTTCAGAAAGATGCCCAGTTCGGGGTCCTTTATCTGGACACGGTGACCAGCCACAACCAGACCATCTACTCCTTCAACCACACCGTGTCCAGGAACAAGGTAAAGGCGCCGCACACACAGCGGAGTCAGTAGAGTCAGTACAGTAGAGGAGGAGGGGGTCTCGGTGGTCTTAGTGGGTCTAAGACCACCGAGACCCCCTCCTCCTCTACTGTACTGACTCTACTGTAGAGGAGGAGGGGGTCTCGGTGGTCTTAGTGGGTCTAATAGTTGAATGATGAAGTGGTTCAGATTCTGGGGGAAGTTTGTGGCTCGTGGTGGTTTTTAAAATGGAGGCACTCTTTATTTCCCTTTCCTCTGCTCGATCACTCTTTATCTCTCTCTCTCTCTCGTTTCCTCTGTTTTTTCTCTCTATCTCTGTTTTTCCTTTCTCTTATTATCTTATTATGTCTCTCGCTCTTTCTCTCTCTTGGTCTCTCTTTCTCTCTTATTCTCTTTCCTTTGCTTCTTCCCTCTCTCATTTCCCCGCTCTCTCTCTCTCTCTCTCTGTCATTCTATCTCTCTCATTCTTTCTCTCTTTTCCTCTCTCTGTCTCTCATTCTCTTTCCCTTTTTTTCTCTCTCTCTTTCTCTCACCCCTTTTCTTTTTCTCTTTTTCTCATCCCCTCTTTCCTTTTCTTCTCTCTCTCATTCCCTCTTTGTGTCTCTCCCTTTGTCTCTCTCTCTCTCTCTCTCTTGCTTCTCTTTCTCCTGCTTCTCTTTCTCTCATTCCCCCCTCTCATTCTCTCTCTTTTCTTCTTTCATTCTCTTTCTCTCTCTCTCTCTCGCTCTCTCTCATTCCGCCTCGTATTCCCTCTCTCTGTCTCTCATATTCTTGCTCCTTCTCTCTCTCTCATCCCCCCTCTCTCTCTCTCTCCCTCTCTCTCTCTCCCTCTCTCTCCCTCTCTCTCCCTCTCTCTCCCTCTCTCTCTCTCTCTCTCTCTCTGTCTCTCTCTCTCTCTCTCTCTCTCTCTCCCTCTCTCTCTCTCTCTCTCTCTCTCTCTCTCTCTCTCTCTCTTACTCAGTATGAATGTTATAAGTTCCATTGTTGCCAAATCGATTAACATTGAGTGTAAATCTGAAAGGCAGTGAGTTCTTTACATCAGATAATCTTATAGTCATATAAATACATTTATGCTTATCTACCTGTCGTCTGTCTGTCTGTCTGTCTATCTGTTGGTCTATCTAGCTGTCTATATATGTCTATAACTACCTGCATTTCCTCATCCTGCTCTCTGTCTCCTTCTTTCCTGCACTCTCTGTCTCTCTCTCTCTCTCTCTCTCTATCTCTCTATCTCTCTCTCTCGCTCTCTCTCTCAGTGGTTTATTTACAGTATAAATCTCCATCAGATGACGGGAAGTTTCAATTTTAAAAATAAACCTCCCTCTCTCTCTCTCTCTCTCTCTCTCTCTCTCTCTCTCTCTCTCTCTCTCTCTCTCAGACGGAGGGCCTGCGAGTGTCGGTGGAGCTGCTGCTCTCTGAGACCACTAAGAGTCCTATCCTGTTTGTCGTTCGTCAGAAGCAGGCCGTTCTCTCCTTCCAGGTTCCGCTCATCCTCCGAGGCCTGTGAGTAAAACTCAGTGAGCCTGTTACACAGTGAGCCTGTTACACCGTGAGCCTGTTACACAGTTAACCTGTTACACAGTAAACTGCACAGTGAGCCTGTTACACAGTTAACCTGTTACACAGTAAACTGCACAGTGAGCCTGTTACACAGTAAACCTGTTACACAGTAAACTGCACAGTGAGCCTGTTACACACTAGACCTGTTACACAGTAAACTACAGTTAACCTGTTACACAGTAAACTGCACAGTGAGCCTGTTACACAGTAAACCTGTTACACAGTAAACTGCACAGTGAGCCTGTTACACAGTAAACTGTCACAGTGACCTGTACACAGTGAGCCTGTTACACAGTTAGCCTGTTACACAGTAAACTGCACAGTGGCCTGTTACAACCTGTTACACAGTAAACTGCACAGTAAGCCTGTTACACAGTTAACCTGTTACACAGTAAACTGCACAGTGAGCCTGCTACACACTAGACCTGTTACACAGTAAACTACAGTTAACCTGTTACACAGTAAACTGCACAGTGAGCCTGTTATACAGTGAGCCTGTTACACAGTGAGCCTGTTACACAGTGAGCCTGTTACACAGTGAGCCTGTTACACAGTAAACTGCACAGTGAGCCTGTTATACAGTTAACCTGTTACACAGTAAACTGCACAGTGAGCCTGTTACACAGTGAACCTGTTACACAGTAAACTGCACAGTGAGCCTGTTATACAGTGAGCCTGTTACACAGTGAGCCTGTTACACAGTGAGCCTGTTACACAGTTAACCTGTTACACAGTAAACTACAGTTAACCTGTTACACAGTAAACTGCACAGTGAGCCTGTTACACAGTGAGCCTGTTACACAGTGAGCCTGTTACACAGTGAGCCTGTTATACAGTAAACCTGTTACACAGTAAACTGCACAGTGAGCCTGTTATACAGTTAACCTGTTACACAGTAAACTGCACAGTGAGCCTGTTATACAGTTAACCTGTTACACAGTAAACTGCACAGTAAGCCTGTTATACAGTTAACTTGTTACACAGTAAACCTGTTACCCAGTAAACTGCACAGTGAGCCTGTTATACAGTTAACCTGTTGCACAGTAATCTACAGTTAACCTGTTACACAGTAAACTGCACAGTGAGCCTGTTATACAGTTAACCTGTTACACAGAAAATAACACAGTAAACCTTTTACACAGTAAACTGCACAGTGAGCCTGTTACACAGTGAACCTGTTACACAGTAAATAACACAGTGAACCTGTTACACTGTAAACCTGTTACACTGTAAACCTGTTACACAGTGAACCTGTTACACAGTTGACCTTTCACACAGAGGTCCACCATTATCTAGTACAGATATCAGGATGATATGAGCAGGAAATGCAGGATCTGAGATCAGAGAAAACGAAAAACAGCTTGTAGCACAACATAAAGTAAAGCAGATGACAGTAAAGACATGATTACATCACACCATAACTAAAACACATAGCTCTGTGTTTACATAAGAACCTGCTGGTGAAGATCTGCTGGTCGGGCTGGGCAGGTTAAATTGTGAAGGAGCAGTTAAGCAGAAGATCCAGTGAGCATTTACCCCCAAATGAGGCTTACACTCCTAACAGACACTAGAAGCCAATAGACACCCAGATCATTTCTGTTAATACGTCCCCAGAACGTCTCTCAACCTGCCGAAACAACACAGCCAGGTCTTTATTAAGGTGGCACAGACTTGTCGATGTGGTTTACAATGCAGTGTGACTCACTGTGAGCTATAAAAATGGACAGAACTTCACTGTGTTGGAAAAGACTGCGGTCAGCTACTTTAGACAGCCGGTGAACGACATCAGACTCCCTACTGTGCTCACAAACGTCGTCCATGCATATAGATGCTACAGATTACTCTCAGGTTTTCTGTTTTTATTTCTGAACATATATCTTCAGTTTAAAAATTCAAGATTAGCAGGTATTTATGAATAGAAATGACCGAAATTACGAACGTAATCCGTAGCATTCGTATATTGGAATTTGGCACAACACCTGAAGTTTTATATAATTTACATATTTGTATAATTTACAGTAAGCCATACTGTCCTAGGGCTGAAACATTCATCATTTTAATATATACGTTATGATTGTGTGGTGCAGTTTATATAAAAAGTGCACTCAATAATCCGGTCATAATCAGATTTCTAGTTATCTGATTATTCAAATGGTCATGTGAACAGCACACACTCTTTCTTAGGTCAGAGTAAGGTCTATGAATCTGATTAAGAAATCCGATAAAGAGGCTGGATTTTAGCTCAGTAAACTGATTTCTCAGGGCATGTAAACTCTTACTCTGATTTCTTTCCTTTCTCTCAGTCTGCGCATGTGCGAAAACAGACAGCGGTACTGGAAATAAGCGAGCAAGACCAACTACATGCTTGACGAAATGAAAGATTTAAATATTCTTCATCTTTTAGATGAATGTATGTTCATATTTACAGGTATACTGAGTTTTTATTTATTTTTTTTTAAATTCACGTTACGTTTACGTCACGTCTTCTACTGTGAGTTTATTGGCTGGTTGTAAAGCAAACATCATCCATGCATATAGATGCTACAGATTACTCTCAGGATTTCTGTTTATATTTCTGAGCATATATCTCAAATTAAAAAATTCAAGATTAGCAGGTATTTATGAATAGAAATGACCGAAATTACGAACGTAATCTGTAGCATTCGTACGTTGGAATCTGATTACTGTCTGACTCATGTAGACCTGGATTTTCAGATTATCCAATTATTCAAGTGCACGTAAATGCGTTGATCGGATTACTGACAAAATCTGGTTTCCTGCAGTTATCAGATTATTTCATGTATGTAAACGCACTCAGTGTTTTTAATTTAAGTGCGAAAAATTAACATAATAACGTCACAAAAATCACAATTACACATTTCCCCCGAATCGTTCAGCCCCACTGCTCCCTAATCCACATCAACAAGTCTGTACGACCTCATGAAGACCTGAATGTGGCTTCAGCGGGTGGAGAGATGCTTTCAGGATGTTTTTACAGAAAAGATTTGGGTGACTATTGACTTCTAGTGTTTGTTAGCAGCGTTAGCCTCGTAGCTCCAGCGTTAAACTAACGAAGCAGAACTTTTACACTAAACGTGTCGTGGCTGATCGACTACATCTGAGGGAAGTGGAGAACCGCGTACGTTAGATTTTTCACCAAACCATTCAATAAAAATCTATTTAACGAACTTTTAATTTGTAGTTTAATTTGTAGAAAATATGCATTTTATTATGTATCATTGTAGTGCTTAATCACATTGTTTGCAGTTCTACAGCACTCATAGGTTTATTGAAAGACGACAAGCTACTATTTATTTATTTATTTATTTATTTATTTTAATTTTATTTTTTAATTCTAATCCAGTGCTGTCTGCAAAAGTTTGTGCACCCCGTTCAAATTACATGTTTTTGTTGCTGTTTTAAGTGTAAATAAGTGAACACATCCTCTACAGAGACACACTAATGTGCATTTTAGTGCACAATAACTGTTCATTGGCTGAATTTAACAGAGAAACGTAAAACATGTAAAGCCTGTGCGAAAGTTTATTTCTCCCAACACATTAAACTCAATGAAACAAGTAGAAATTGTGCACTAAAATATGCTGAAAAATGGCAGATTTAAGTTTATATCTTTTTTGTAAGCTTCTAATTTGACTTGATGTGTTCAAACCTTTGCATACGACTGTATAACGTGCCTTATTTAAATGTCCAACTAAGTAAAAAAAGCTAAATATCCATATATTCAAATAACCCCACCCATCCTTGCTCACCGTCTGTCAGTTGTTTACTGTTCTGAGAGCAGTTTGGTGTCGTTGTGGCTCTGATAGAGCAATCGGATCCAGATAACTGCAGTGTAGAGTACGTTCTGGCATCCAGCTGGTTCCTGATAAGGGCATTGTGTCTGTGCTGTGGGAGAGAGAACGCGTCTGAGAGACTGACTGAAGGTCGTCTTTTCTCTCCACAGCTTGAGCGCAGTCTGTACTGTATTCATAATGTTATTGTATTTAGTGGAAGTTCAAGCAATGAATTAAATATTAAAAAGTGCTACAGTCAGTCTAATAGGACTAAAATGAGTATAAAAATTGGTATGTTTGTTGGTATCATGCACTTCTGGTTGCAGTACTCTACAGAAAATGTTAATAAAGCTTCTACTGTTTTATTTAAAAAGCCTCTATAATGTTCATATGATTCACACAGTCACTCTGACAGACTGTAATACTCTACAGGAAGTGTAGGGGGCGATATGGCTTCTACTGTTTCATTTAAAAAGCCTCTATAATGTTCATATGATTCACACAGTCTTTCTGACAGACCGTAATACACTACAGGGCGTTTGTCCATTTAAGTGTTAGGTGAAACTGGAAGGGTGGAAACTGGAAGCCGCGTTAGGGTCACAGTGTTCATTACACGGTTTTGACAGACTGTGAACTCCAGAGTTTCTCAACAGTTACAGTCAGGTGCTCTCTCTCTCTCTCACACACACACTCACTCTCTGTCACACACACACACACACACACACACACACACACACACACTCATATAGACTCTAATAAACGCCCTGAGTGAAGATCTCAGTTCCTCATTATGTTCCAGTTCACTCCCTCCAGCTGCACTGACTGAGTCTTTAGTGCTGAATTTACACGCAGAGCCGAGATCAGACTGGAGCAGATACAAGGCTGATTCACCACTTCATCACTCACCACTTCACCACTCACATCACTCGCCACTTCACCACTCACATCACTCGCCACTTCATCACTCACCACTCGCCACTTCATCACTCACCACTCGCCACTTCATCACTCACCACTCGCCACGTTATCGCTCACCACATCACCATGCCATCACTCACCGCTTCACCACTCACGTCATGACTCACCGCTTCACCACTCACGTCATGACTCACCATGCCATCACTCACCACTCGCCACGCCATCATTCACCACTTCATCACTCACCACGCCATCACTCACCACATCACCACGCCATTACTCACCACTCGCCACGTTATCACTCACCACTTCATTGCTCACCACGCCGTTGCCCACCATATCACCATGCCATCACTCACCGCTTCACCACTCACGTCATCACTCACCACTCGCCACTTCATCGCTCACCACGGCATCACTCGCCACGCCATCATTCACCACTTCATTGCTCACCACACCATCACTCACTACTCGCTACTTCATCGCTCACCACACCATAACTCACCACTCGCCACGTTATCACTCACCACTTCATTGTTCACTACATCACCATGCCATCACTCACTGCTTCACCACTCACGTCATCACTCACCGCTTCACCACTCACGTCATCACTCACCGCTCACCTGTCTTCCTTTCTTTGTTCGTATGTGTTTGATTGTTTATTTATTCATTCTTCACTCCGTCTCCTCCTCTCTTCTCCCCTCTCCTCCTCGTTGTGTGATCAGCGTTTACAGCAGGGCTGCAGTGAGACGAACACTCTGACGGTCGTATGAATCGGTCGACTGTTACTCGGTTAATCTCCATAACTGTAAGTGTTCAGAGCTGAAACAGTGAAGCGTCTGGCGTTACAGACTGAGTTTCTCTTCACCGTCACAGAGAAGAACGAGTGGAGCTTTGATTAATCTGACCTGAATTTAGAGCTACAGCAAGAATTAAACTTCTAAATTAAATTTCTACACTTAATCAGCCCCACTGACCACATAGTTTCACTCTGTGGTCATCTGTTTCTCTGCACCCTGTTCTTCAATGGTCAGGACCCCCATGGACCAGGGGGTCACAGAGCAGGTACTGTTTGGGTGGTGGGTCATTCTCAGCAGTAACACTGACGTGGTGGTGGTGGTGGTGTGAGTGGATCAGACACAGCAGTGCTGCTGGAGTTCAGGATCGAGGATGCTTAGTATATATAAGTAATCAAATCTCGGCGCAGATCGGCTGCAGTGATTCGGATACATCGTCCAGTTTCTGATCACGTGTCCGACTCTCATCAGGTGCGTCTGTTCTGTTCTAAAGTGATGATGCGCGTGTGGCGTATTGTGACGTAATCTATCGCAGTATTGATCTCGTATCTGTCAATCAGATCATGAACAGGTCGGTGTTCTCAGAGCAGCTGTGTTGAGTTCATGAAGAGTAAACAGACTAAGACTTTACTGAGTCAGCTCTCTCTCTCTCTCTCTCTCTCTCTCTCTCTCACTCTCTCTCACTCTCACTCTCTGTGTTAAATAGGAGAAGTTCAGTCGTTCAGAGGAAGTTTTTTCTCGCTCTTTCTCTTCTCGTTTTCATTTTGAGAGGTTCTGCAATAACCAGCCTGTCCTGCTCTTCAGCCTCATTCTCAATAAAGCCTCTCACTCATTCAGCAGACACTTTCAGTTTCTCTCTCTCTCTCTATTCTCTCTCTCTCTCTCCTCTCTGTTTCTCTGTCTCTTTCTGTATCTCTCTATCTTCTCTCTTTTTCTGTCTCTCTTTTTCTGTCTCTCTCTCTCTCCCGCTATCTCTCTCCTCTTTAACTTCTTCTTTTTCTTCTCCTTCTCTCTCTCTTCTTTCCCTCTCTCTCTCCCCTCTATTCTCTCTCTCTCTCTCTCTCTCTCTCTCTCTCTCTCCCCTTTTTTTTCTTTTTTTATTCTTTCTTTTTCGCTTATTTCTGTATGTTTTCTATTCTAGTTATTTTCTTTCTTTCTTCTTTAATTATTTCTTTATGTTTTCTAGTCTGGTTATTTGTTTATAATTTCCTTCTTTTTCACTCTCTCTGTTCCTTTTCTATCCCTTTTTTTATTCTTTCTATTTATTTGTATTTATTTTCTTTCTTACTTGTTTTTCTTTCTTTGTTTCTTTTTTCTAGATCTAGGTATTTTTCTTTCTTTCTCAAGTTCAGGGGACTTTATTGGCATGAACTGTTACTATGGAATGACTTTAATATTTTTTTTTTCTTTCTTTTATCATATTGTGTTTTGTTCATTCCCTCATTTTTTTTAATCCTTTCCTTTCTCGCTAAACGTGCCGTGAATTATAATGAACAGCCAGTGTTGTTTATTTATTTTCAGTATTGAGTTTTAATCGTTTCTTTTGTATTTCAGTCACTTCTTCTGAATTTTAAAGTGTCTGACTGCGTAGTTCGCTGACGTTTACCTCAACTATTGCTCATCTCTGTTAGATGCACTCATGGCTGGTCATGTGTTTCCTCACTTCTCTGTGTTTACAGCAGAGATTATTTAACTACAGGCACAAACGGCTACCTGTGTGCTTCACAGCAGAGCGTGTGGTCCTGACATAACACTCAGTACTAAAGCCTGAATGGAGACCTGCTGATCAGACTGCAAACCCTGCTCTCTCTCTCTCTCTCTCTCTCTCTCTCTCTCTCTCTCTGTATCTCTTTCTCTCTCTCTCCATAGGTATCAGAGGAAGTATCAGTACACCCAGGTGGGTCGGACCCTTTGCCAGCCCCCAACAGTCCTCCCGTCTGAAACTCAGTTTTTCTACGTGGACGTGTCCACTCTGTCCTCCACCAGCGTCCAATACCAGCTGCAGGTCAGCCGGGTGGAGAGCTTCACGCTGCAGTGAGTGTCGCCATCGTTATCGTCTTCATCGGCAAACCGTCATCTTAATCGCCCTCATTAATGAATCACCGTTCCATCCATCAAGCAGCATCGCGTCATCTTCAGCATCGTTTCCAGAGCCGTATCTCAGTCCTGCTGGAGTTCTAATCACATTAAATCTTCCCTGATCGATTATTCAGTTCGATTTGACAGCAGCGTCTTTATTTTCTTCATCTTTAAGCATCTGCAGGCGTATATAAACTACTCCGGCGTGCAGTAGGCCGACGAGTGAAAGCTTTGGACACACCTACTCATTATTTCCCAGATTTATATTATCATTTAAACCTGTATAATTAGCAGGTAAAAAACTTCGAAGTGACCAAAAAAGCGTTAAACAAATCAGAATTGAGAAAAGTTTTGTTTTGGAAATAAATTCGTTCATAGGCCTCAATGCCACTGTTTATATTTGTCTAAATAAATCATTGTTGAGCATTTTAAAAGTACAGAGCCTTACAGAGCCCTGCTGGTGACATCCTGTATAAATAAAAATAATGCGTGGCCACAACTTGCGTGGGAACAAGATAATTAAGTCATGGATACGACTTAGTAAGGCTTGAGAACGAGATCTTAATGCGTGGCCACAACTTTGTAATGCGTGGACACAAGATCCTAATGTGTGGCCACAACTTACTAATGCGTGGGTACAAGATCCTAATGCGTGGCCACGACTTAGTAATGCGTGGGGACAAGATCCTAATGCGTGGCCACGACTTGGTAATGACTGCCAACGAGATCGAAATGTGTGGGCGCAGCTTAGTAACGCGTGGGAACAAGATCCTAATGCGTGGCCACGACTTAGTAACGCGTGGGGACAAGATCCTAATGCGTGGCCACGACTTAGTAACGCGTGGGGACAAGATCCTAATGCTTGGCCACGACTTGGTAATGACTGGCAACGAGATCCAAATGTGTGGTCGCAGCTTAGTAATGCGTGGGAACAAGATCCTAATGCGTGGCCACGACTTAGTAATGCGTGGGGACAAGATCCTAATGCTTGGCCACGACTTAGTAACGCGCGGGAACAAGATCCTAATGCGTGGCCACGACTTAGTAATGACTGGCAACGAGATCCAAATGTGTGGCCGCAGCTTAGTAATGCGTGGGAACAAGATCCTAATGCGTGGCCACGACTTAGTAATGCGTGGGAACAAGATCCTAATGCGTGGCCACGACTTAGTAACGCGTGGGGACAAGATCCTAATGCGTGGCCACGACTTAGTAACGCATGGGGACAAGATCCTAATGCGTGGCCACGACTTGGTAATGACTGGCAACGAGATCGAAATGTGTGGGCGCAGCTTAGTAACGCGTGGGAACAAGATCCTAATGCATGGCCACGACTTAGTAATGCGTGGAAACGAGATTGTGCCTTACTAAGTCGTGGCCACACGTTAGGATCTCGTTCCTACGCCTTACGAAGTTGTAAGACTGAATTATCTCATTCCTACGCGTTAATAAGTCATGGCCATACATTATGATCTTGTTCCCACATGTTAGTAAGGCGTGGCCACGCATTGTTTTTAATGATATGGGATGTCTCCAGCAGGGCTCCCTATATAAGGGCCTCTGTTGTGGAAAATGAATTTGCCTCACTTTTATAAAATAAGACTTTTATAAAACAAGAGTTTGAATATGAAAAATATTCTGCAAAAACAGTTTTAAAATTGACTGTTTCTGTGACGTCACAAAAACCGACACGTTTACGCCTTGTACGTACATCCGCCTTTTCAGCCTACAGCAGTTTAGCCCCGCCCACTCACACCAAGCAGCGTTTCAGCCTGGACTGCTTCTTGAATGAGACACAGTACAGGGCGTCCAATCAGAATAGAGCTGGTTTGCATATATGAGTCTTAAAGGTGCGGCAGTTGTGATGTTTTGGTGCATAAAACCCCTCAAACGTTACGAGTCGACCTCAGAGGGACAGATAAAGTTCATGGATATGAGCCCTTTAAGCGCGAGCGTTAAGTCGGAATGACGAAACTCATACAGTCAGTCAGGTGAGTCCAGGTTTCTGTCTCGTGCTGTGAAGGGTCGTCACTGACTGTGTTCACACCATACATGCATAAGAATGACCGGCTCTATTAAATTAGTCACCCTCGTTACTTTGCTCCATCATCCTGTCGTCTCACCACGTCATCACACACAGTACTGACAGATCAGCAGTGCGTCCACGGCGCGGTCAAAGTCTACTGACTCACCGCAATTTCCCACCGCTGATACTGTACGGCTGATTCACGACTAACAGTAAAGCTGTCACTGATAACCGCCTGGTTGTCTGGATGCAGACTGAAGTGCTGTCCAGGGGACGTCTGTAATGTTTATAACCACAGGATTTGAGACGCCTGTGTAAGTTACAGACAGAAAGGCTAAAATAAATGATCATTTTTTACGTCCACTGTAAAACAGGTACATTTATTCAGAGCCACCCTAAATTCTTCAGACGTTCTCCATCTGTAGATCTAGAAATTCAGTCGTGGAATAATGGAGAGGGTGGGGTTTTAATTAATGCCCTATCCAGTCTGGAAGATAGGAGGGGGCGGGGCCAAAGTGTGCATTTTTTTAAAGATACTGCTAAGATCACAATACTCAATCTGTCCCCATGTGAAACTAATCCCGTCCAAATTGTCCTTAAGCCTAAACTCAGTGGCAGTTCTGTGTTAAAACTCATTGGTGTCATGCACTGAGTATAGGACGATACATTAGAGCTGGACGATATGGCAAAAAAAAAAAAATATCATGATACTGCATGTAGTTTACGGTACACGATATGTTTAAATATATTTTTTCTGATATTGAAAAAGACAAAGTAGCGCTATATTTTAAAAAAGTACTATCAAAAATTATGAATACCATGATTTGTATTCAGCATTTTCATGCTGAGCTGTACTAAATCCAATAAAACAGGTCTAATTATGCTCTCTTTGCAATGAAACATGCAGTCGGGAAGTGTTTTTTAGTACTGACGACATGCACCGTATGCTCTGCAAACGTAATGTATTATGATAAGAGTAAATATTGTTATATTATCCAAATCTGCTATACATTTATTACATTTTCATCCCTTCTTTTGTCTTTCAGGACGGACAAGAAATTCAGCTTCAATGCAACTCCCTCCCAGCCCCAGGTTTGTGAACACGCACTCTCTTTACTCCTTATCAGCAGGTCGGTCACACGCAGCAAGTTGAGCTGCACTGAGCAGTCATATGATAGACACAGTCATTCTGACAGATTAAACACTACAGGAAGTGTATTTTGTATTATAGAAGCAAATCTGATCTCGATTTAGGAATTTTATCTTATCTTACAGGGTGAAACAAAACTAAAGCGTGATAAACTTGACGTTAAGGATGTTGTGGCAGTTCTTTGTGCTGATTATCAGAGCATCACTGCTCCACAGTTTCAGTCTCCATTTCCCAAACGCTTTAGCCGAGCGCGCTAACGTTACTCCTCCTAATAAACAGACGCACGTTCAGCTCCGTCTCCTCATTATTCACCACCATCACTGTAATATTTTAGCATTTTATCGTGGGGATCGTGATAAACTGTGAGTTGTGAATACTGTGAGAGCGCCCCCTGCTGTTTATCAGTCCCCAAATTCCATACCCAACCATAGCAATTGCCTAGCAACACCTTAGCAACCACCTGGGATAGCATAGCAATGGCCTTGCAGCACCTTAGCACCAACCTCATAGCATAGCATCGGCCTATCAACACCTTAGCAACCACCTGGAAAACCACAGCAATGGCCTAGCAACATCTTACCATCTTACCTTAGCGACTATCTTGAATACCAAAGCAATGACCTTGTAGCACCGTAGCAACTGTCTGGAATGCCATAGCAATGAGCTTGCAATACCTTAGCAACCATCTGGAATGCCATAGCAATTAGCTTGTAACACCTTAGCAACCATCTGTAATGCCATAGCAATGAGCTTGTAACACCTTAGCAACCACCTCATAGCATAGCTTTGGCCTAGCAACACCTTAGCAACCACCTGGGATACCATAGCAATGACTTTCCAACCCTTTATCAGCCACCTGGGATAGCATAGCAAAGGCCTTGCAACACCTTAGCAACCACCTGGAATACCATAGCAATGGCCTAGCGTTTTATCATGGAGATCGTGATAAACTGTAAGTAGTGAATACTGTGAGAGCGCCCCCTGCTGTTTATCAGAGTGTCTGCGCTCCCCGGTTTCAGTCTCCATTTCCCAAACGCTTTAGCCGAGCACGCTAACGTTACTCCTCCTAATAAACAGACACACGTTCAGCTCCGTCTCCTCATTATTCACCACCATCACTGTAATATTTCATCATCAACATTAACACACGAAGGTGATCAGAGGGGCGGTGGAGATCGAGTCTGCAGCGTCTGAGATCTTTAAAACGCAGAGTTAGAAAAGAAAATCATCTCACAGTGAAAGCAGCGTTTTACAGTAGAGATAAATGGAGCTCATTATGCTGGTAGTGAACTATGCTGCTGACACAGCTGCCTAAAAACCATAGAAACGGACCTTAAACAGAAGTGAGGACCCTGTTGGGGTTCATCCTAAAGTTAGGACAGGATTTAGGAGGTTCAGTCTAGTTAGGATGTTTGTGTGATGCTGTTTTCTTATCTGGAGTTCATGATGAGATTATGAAGGTAGGAACTGTTATTCTGTAAAAGCCTCTGAATTCAGGCCGTACTGAAGTCATCATGGTGACTAAACAGATAAAATAAGATTTCAGAGTTAAGACGTTTCTGTAATACGACCCCAGAACTTCTTCAGAACTAGTTTAGCTGTGATTAGAAACGTAGAACTGGTCTCAGATCAGCTGAAACGTGTAGGTCACTAAGGGTGAAGTCATTCCGTCTGCGAGCTCACAGGTTAAAGTCCATTTTTAAGAACACGACTGTGTGTAAATGAGCAGGTTTTGTAAGAATTAGCACCGGAACTTTGACCTTGTCCTCCATTCAGCCACTTTTTATAATCCAGAGCTTTATAGAAACAGCAAACATGCTGGCAGTCGCTCAGTGTTGAACTACATCTGTGCAGTAACAGTGACCATGACCTCACAACTGAGAGCAGTAATGACACATCATGTTTACCTTTATATTCGGTGTACTGGGCGTATTTCTGCTTTTATTCACGGCTCACGCAACCTAACAGCAGCTCCATCAGCTGTGTGTCTGTGTAGGGAAGTTAAAGGTCTAGTTTTTTCTTAAGAAAAAATGTGTAAAATGCAGCGCTGCAAGCCGCTCGTGAGCCACGTTCTTCAGGTTTTACTAAGAGGATTATGTTATTTGAAACCATTGTTTTTCTAACTGAGTGATTAAGTATCCAGTAAAAATGCTGCCTTGGCTTGTGAAATGTATCTAATGTTTCTCATTATGACTAATGTTTTTGTTAATTTTCCACAAGTCTTCTTTTGTTTCGTATTCCGTGTGGTTTGTTATCGTACCTTCTTTTCCTCTTCTCTTTCCCCTCCGCAGTTTTTTAAATATGTCTTTCCTGAGGGCGTGGACACGGTTATTGTGAAAGTGAATTCTGAGAAGAATTTTCCCTGCTCCGTCATGTCCATTCAGGATATCCAGGTTTGAGACACACACACACACATCATACTGGTTTAGATCTGGTCACATCTTCTGTAAACAGGGTGGTGTTGACTCTGGCAGTATTAGTGTACTTTACTAAAGGCAACTTACTTTTTTTTTCCCCGTCCTTTTTTATTACGTTGGCCTGACAAAGCCAACTTACAGTGGCCTAGCAGCACCTTAGCAGCCACCTCATAGCATAGCAGTGGTCTAACCATACCTTAGCAACCACCTGGAATATTATAGCAATGGCCTAGCAGCACCTTAGCAGCCACCTCATAGCATAGCAATGGTCTAACCATACCTTAGCAACCACCTGGAATATTATAGCAATGGCCTAGCAGCACCTTAGCAGCCACCTCATAGCATAGCAATGGCCTAGCAACACCTTAGCAACCACCTGGAAAACCATAGCAATGGCCTAGCAACACCTTAGCAACCACCTGGAAAACCATAGCAATGGCCTAGCAACACCCTAGCAACCACCTGGAATACCATAGCAATGGCTTTGCAACCCCTTATCAACCACCTGGGATAGCATAGCAATGGCCTTGCAACACCTTAGCAACCAGCTCACAGCGTAGCATCAGCCTAGCAACACCTTAGCAACCACCTGGAAAACCATAGCAATGGCCTTGCAACATCTTAGCAACCACCTGGGATAGCATAGCAATGGCCTTGCAACACCTTAGCAACCAGCTTATAACATAGCATCGGCCTTGCAACACCTTAGCAACCACCTGGGATAGCATAGCAATGGCCTTGCAACACCTTAGCAACCAGCTCATAACATAGCATCAGCCTTGCAACACCTTAGCAACCAGCTCATAACATAGCATTGGCCTAGCAACACCTTAGCAACCACCTGGGATAGATTAGCAACGGCCTAGCAACACCTTAGCAACCACCTGGGATAGAATAACAACGGCCTAGCAACACCTTAGCAACCACCTGGGATAGAATACCATCGGCCTAGCAACACCTTAGCACCGTAGTTCGTTTCCCCCGTCTAGTTGAAGGTGGTGGTCTCAGTTGACCACGGCAGCCTTTGTTTTACACACTCATCAACCTGTTTAATATCACAGTGTGGGCAGTTTTTAAACTTCCTCTCTTCCTCTTCATCCTCAGTGTCCTGTGTATGATCTGGACAACAACGTGGCCTTTATCGGAATGTATCAGACCATGACCAAGAAGGGAGCCATTACAGTGCAGGTAAAACTAACTCTGACTGTCCTGTTTCAGTCTGATCAGTTTTATACTTGTCAATGTTTCATCACTGCAGGATATACAGTTAAATCAGGCAGCTCATACAGTGTGGGGGGGGCAGTGTGGTAGCGCTTTAGAGTAATTACAATTTTGTTTGTGATTATAATGAATTAATAGATTCAGAAATGTCTTGTAAATAGTTTTAATATGTTATTTAATTTGAGCATAGCATAGCAACAGCCTAGCAATACCATAGCAATGGCCTTGCAACACCTTAGCTACCACCTGGAATGCCATAGCAATGGCCTTGCAACACCTTAGCAACCGCCTGGACTTCCATAGCAATGGCTTTGCAAAACCGTAGCAACCACCTGGAATGCCATAGCAATGACCTTGTAACACCTTAGCAACCGTCTAGAATGCCATAGCAATGGCCTTGCAACACCTTAGCAACCATCTGACATACCATAGCAGTGACCTTGCATCACCTTAGCAACAATCTGGAATGCCATAGCAATTGCCTTGCAATACCATAGTAATGAGCTTGTAACACCTTAGCAACCACCTAGAATACCATAGCAATGAACTTGCAACACAATAGCAACCATCTGGAATGCCGTAGCAATGAGCTTGCAACACCTTAGCAACCATCTGGAATGCCGTAGCAATGAGCTTGAAACCTTAGCAACCACCTGGAATGCCATAGCAATGAGCTTGAAACCTTAGCAACCATCTGGAATGCCATAGCAATGAGCTTGCAACACCTTAGCGACCATCTGGAATGCTGTAGCAATGAGCTTGAAACCTTAGCAACCATCTGGAATGCCATAGCAATGAGCTTGAAACCTTAGCAACCATCTGTAATGCCGTAGCAATGAGCTTGAAACCTTAGCAACCATCTGGAATGCCGTAGCAATGAGCTTGAAACCTTAGCAACCATCTGGAATGCCATAGCAATGAGCTTGAAACCTTAGCAACCATCTGGAATGCCGTAGCAATGAGCTTGAAACCTTAGCAACCATCTGGAATGCCGTAGCAATGAGCTTGAAACCTTAGCAACCATCTGGAATGCCATAGCAATTAGCTTGCAACGCCATAGCAACCATGTCAGCGGTCATCTTTAGCATTACAGGCTAACTCTTTATCAGCACATGTAGTTACCCTAATTTATTAATGACACATTCTGTTTCCTGTGCTCAGAGGAAGGACTTCCCAAGCAACAGTTTCTACGTGGTCGTCGTGGTGAAGACGGAGGACGAGGCGTGCGGCGGGCCGCTCAAGTTCTACCCCCTTTTGCCCGGTGAGCGAATCAAAGCCCAGTAATCTCGCATTACAGCCAGTCATGCCTCACTGTAGGACTATCACAGCCAATCAGATCAGTGGAGTCAAATCACCACAGCCCTGTGTGGAGTGAGGACTCTATAACAATAGAGCTCCTTTTAAAGGGGAAGTCCACTGGTTTTCCAAAATTTTTGCATAATCTCAGTCACTGAGATGTAAACAGAGAGATTCAGAGTGGTTTGATGTGAAATGGTTCAGATGTCTTTACAGTGGTGGTGATAGGAACCAGGGGTCGCCATGACTACAACACAAATATAGACATTTTATTTACTATCCAGAACCACCAGTGAACCTACACGAGTCTTCTGAGTTTATATGGAATGTTGATGTTGGGAAAATAGTGGAAAATCTGAAATAATCAGTTTTTTTGGGGACTATTTTGCCTCATAACACCCTGAATGTACCTCTATGTTGTGAATGTGTTTAAAAATGTTTTTTAGGCCAAAATCTTCTCAGAACTTCCCTAAAACAGTGAGTGTGTTTACATGCGCCTAATATTCCGGTAACTCCAGAAAATCTGATTTTGTCAGTAATCCGATCAACACGTTTACATGCACTCGGGTAATCAGATAATGGGGAAACTCCAGGTCTATATGAGTCAGACAGTAATCGGATTTCTGCTTTGCAACCAGCCAATAAACTCACAGAAGAAGACGTGACGTAAACATAATGTAAATCTCAAACTTCATTAGCAGCTATTTTTTAAAAACATCGCACCACTTTACCTGAAAATATGAACGTCCATCATCTAGAAGATGAAGAACATTTAAATCCTTCATTTCGTCAAGCAAGTATTTGGTTTCAGCCTCACTCCGTAAGTGTTTTGCTGCGTCTCGTGGCGACGCTGCTCGCTTATTTCTGGTACCGCCGTCTGTTTTCACACATGCTCAGAGAGAAACGAAAGAAATCAGAGTAAGAGTTTACATGCACTGAGAAATCTGATTACTGAGCTAAAATCCAGCCTTTATCGGATTTGTACATCGGAGTATGAGGTTTACATGACTATTTGAATAATCAGATAATTTATATCGGATTTAATCGGGTAATTTATATCAGATAATTTTCATGTAGTAACTTTCTGTGAGGGAGCTTTTAGAGGTGGACGTCTGGTTCCTATCACCACCACTGTGAACAATTCAGACTCTGTCAGTTTCTCCAGATTGGAGAGTTTCGTCAGTGGAACTCCCTTTAATATGTTAGTTGTCATATTATGGAGGCTCAATATTTTTGAGTTTTCTTCCATCAGTGTTCTCGCACTACAGTACCCATAATGCAAATACATGGAAGAACCACTGGGAATAAACCCACACTGCCGTAAATAGACCCTAACTGCTGGTGCAGCCAATCATGTAGAGGCTAATGTTAGAGAAAACACTGTAATGTAAAAAAAATTAAATAAATAAATAAATTCTATCAGCCCTTCCTCAGATGTCCAGTAATTTTAAAGGTTCCTCATTTCAGTTAGGCTACCCCTTTAATAAAGTGGAATTCCACCAAAATTTCAAAATATGCATTTATGTATATACTTATTGTGTAATATATTTATTTTGTGTTTATTGTGTTTATATATATTTATTGTGCATTTCGAGTGCTTTCATGTGAAAACGTGCATCAACAGTAACTACAAAAGAACGCAGTTCAGTTCAGCTTCACTGTGTTCACGATTTTGCAGTTCCTGAATAAAACTCAACTCAGTTGGAGAACAAGCCCAGACGACTGCCTTCATATCACCCTACAGGTTCTAGAGCGTACTGAGCGTGCCGTGTTCTCTCTCTCTCTCTCTCTCTCTCTCTCTCTCTCTCTCTCTCTCTCAGATGAGCTGTTGGATGCTGGGAATCGCAGTAAAACTCTGGACGTGGTCGTCTCTCCTGCCATTAACTGTGAGTCATACAAGGTTAATCAGTGAACTGATTAGATAATTAAGCGTTCATTAACTGACCCTGACGGACTCGCCCCATCTTGTTTCTCTCTCTCTCTCCCATTGTAGCGGAGGTGTATGTGATGGGGATGCTGTTCTGTCTCGGCATCTTCCTGTCCTTCTACGTGCTGACCTTCCTGGTGGCCTGCATAGAGAACAAAAGGTCAGAGTCTGTGATGGTTTCATCAGTTTAATCAGTTACAGCCTCACATACACACACTGTTCATCCCACTGTTCATCCACACTGTTCATCCACACTGTTCATCTACACTGTTCATCCCACTGTTCATCCCACTGTTCATCTACACTGTTCATCTACACTGTTCATCCCACTGTTCATCCACACTGTTCATCCGCGCTGTTCATCCACACTGTTCATCCACACTGTTCATCTACACTGTTCATCCACACTGTTCATCCGCGCTGTTCATCCACACTGTTCATCCACACTGTTCATCTACACTGTTCATCCGCGCTGTTCATCCGCGCTGTTCATCCGCGCTGTTCATCTACGCTGTTCATTCCCACTTTTCATCTACACTGTTCATCCCCACTGTTCATTCCCACTTTTCATCTACACTGTTCATCTACGCTGTTCATCCGCGCTGTTCATCCGCGCTGTTCATCCGCGCTGTTCATCCACACTGTTCATCCCACTGTTCATCCCACTGTTCATCCCACTGTTCATCCCCACTGTTCATCCCCACTGTTCATCCCCACTGTTCATCCCCACTGTTCATCTACACTTTTCGTCTACACTGTTCATCCCCACTGTTCATCCCACTGTTCATCTACACTGTTCATCCACACTGTTCATCCACACTGTTCATCCACACGGCTCATCCACACCGTTCATCCCCACTGTTCATCCCCACTGTTCATCCCCACTGTTCATCCACGCTGTTCATCCACGCTGTTCATCCCACGGCTCATCCCACGGCTCATCCCACGGCTCATCCCACTGCTCATCCCACGGCTCATCCACACTGTTCATCCACACTGTTCATCCCACTGTTCATCCCGCTGTTCTTCCCGCTGTTCATCCCCACTGTTCGTCCCCACTGTTCGTCCCCACTGTTCGTCCCCACTGTTCGTTCCCACTGTTCGCCCCCCCGTTCATCCACACTGTCCATCACACGACTCATCCCACTTTTCATCACAGATCTTCACACTGTTCATCACACTGATCTTCACTGACTAACTGACTGATTATCTCTCTCCCTCTCTCTCTCTCTCTCCCTCTCCCTCTCTCACTCTGTCTCTGTCTCTCTCCCTATCTCTCCTGTTTCCTTCTGTCTCGCTCTCTTCCTTTTCCTTCTCTTCTCTCTTTTCTTTCTCCATCTGTATCCCTTTCTTTCTCTCTTGTGCTCTGTGTTTTTCTTACTCGCGCACTCTCTTCCTTCTTTCTCCGTCTCTCTCACATTCTCTCTCTCCATCCCTTTATTTCTTCTGCCTTTTTATCTCTATTCTTCACTGTTGCTCTCCTTTTGTCTCTGTCTCTCCCTGTCTCTGAACTCTCTCTCTCGCTCTCTCTCTCTCTCTCTCTCTCTCTCTCTCTCTCTCTCTCTCTCTCAGGATGAACAGAAAGAGGGAGGGCTTTCTGCAGCCTGCTGACATGTCACCAGCAGAGACAGGTAACCTAGCAACCGGTCACTAAGGACCAAAACGGGGTCCCTCTGTGCCTAGTGAGGGTCCAGGGTAGGGGGGGGTGGGTGTCAGAGACGCCACCTCCACTGTGACTCTAAACTCACTGGCCCTGCTGTTCCAGGTTCTCCTTTAGTGTTACCCTGGAGCTGCAGGGCTGACGTAGCTGACAGGTAGTGGAGTCTGTGTGCGTCAGTTAGCACGGCGCTAGCTGAGCGTCTCGGGCGGTGTGGGTTGTTCAGTCTGACTCTGTGGTTTGTGACTGTGGGTTATTTTAATTTTCCGCTGGACCGTCACTGCGGACTGCGTCTGCAGGGTGATCTCAGTTTAACCACGCCAGGCGATGTAAACTGTGTGGCTGAAGTAGTTGATGATGTCATAACAGCTCAGAGATGATGTACTAATATTGATCGATCGATCAGTCAATCACACCTGAAGGAGTTTGAACTGCATTATCAGTGCTGTCAACAGTTATTGATCTTTCTTTTTCTTTCCCCCCTTTCTCTGTCTCTCTCTCTGTCTGTCTCTCTCTCTTCTCTGTCTCTCTCTCTCTCTGTCTCTCACTCTTTGTCTCTCTGTCTCTCTCTCTCTCTCGCTCTCTCCCTCTCTCCCTCTCTCTGTCTCTATCTGTCTGTCTCTCTCATGCTCTGTCTGTTTCTCTCCCTCTCTCTCTGTCTCTCTGTCTCTGTCACTCCTCCTTCTCATTCGCTTTCTTGCTCTCTCTCACAATCTCACTCCTCTTTCTCTCTCTCTCTTCTTGCTGTTTCTCATCCTCTTTTTTCTTTCCCTTTTATGTTTCTCTTTCATTCTCCTGTTTTTCTTTTTCTCTTCGTTCCCTCTCTCACTTACTCTCTCACTTGCTCTCTCCTCTCTCTCTCTCTCTCTCTCTCTCTCTCTCACCCCCTTCTTTTTGTTTCTCGTTCTCTCCTCCCTTTCTCACTCTTCTCTGTATTTCTCTCTTCTGCTCGCTGTTTTTCTCTTTCTCTTCTCTTCCCCTCTTTCTCTCCCTCCCTCTCTCTCTTGTGTTAATGCCTCAGCCTCTCTGTTAGGTAAGAACTGTATTGGTCTTGTTTGTGTTTCTATCGTGTGTGTTTGTGTGTGTGTGTGTGTGTGTGTGTGTGTGTGTGTTTGTATTTATATTTTAAAGGAACGGTCAAATCAAATGTACACAGTTTTCCACGTAGCGCAGATGTGATCGATCATCCAAGACAAGTTTGGTGTCTGAAAGCTGCTTCTTTAGTTTAGCGCTGGAGCTAAGAGGCTATCGTTGCTGTCAAACACTGGAAGTCAATAGTCACCCAGATCTTTTCTGTAACTGCATCCACAAAACCTCCCTCAACCCGATCAAACCACACCCAGCTCTTCATTAAGGTTGATGTGGTTTAGCGTGACTCACTGAGATAAACATGAACACAGCTTCAGCGAGTTACGATCAACAGTTATGTATTAATAAGGAATGTGACCTATAGTGACCGTATGCCTGTGTGATGTGCTGGAGCTCACAGGGGGGTCAGAATTCAGCACAACACCGGCCGTCTGTCCAACCACAGTCACCGCCACATCGAAAGCCTGTGGTCCCTCTGGTTGAGGGAAGTTTTGTGGATGTATTTACAGAGATGATTTGGGTGACTATTGACTTCTAGTGTTTGTTCACCACGTTAGCCTCACTAGACTAAAGAAGCAGACTAAAAGCACCGATCGAGGATCCTTGTTGATCAGCTGAGTCAGCGAATTTTCCCCAAATCATTCCTTTAAATCAGCATCTTTCCAACATTAACAAACTCACTCAATCTGTTAGCACTCACTGAAATCCACTTACAGCACCATCCCGACTAGCACTCACTGACGGATCTCTGCCTGCTGGTGTCTGGACGCGGCTTTGTACTAACATTAAAGCGATAGTTCATCAAAAAAATCTAATTTACAGTTTTCCCCTCCCCCAAACTTGGTCAATCTTCAAGTCCCATTTAACACCACATGCGATAACTCGAACGTGAAGCGCAAGAATTTCGCTGCTGTCGGAAGAAAACCTCGTATCTCTGTTTTTGACGTTTTTCAGTTTTTCACAAAATTTTAAAATACCTGTTACCCTTTACAGTGTCTGTCAATTTCATCAAAAATGGACTGAAAGAAACGGCCCAAAATTACTTGGAAAAAATTCTGGCTCCATTGACTCGCATTAAAAGTAAAGTAGGTTTTTTCCTTCTCCTGAAAAGTTGCCATGTTGGAGGTACGAGGTGTTTTTCCACCAACGGTGATATGCTTTGGGTCTATTTCTGCCACATGCCGTGTGCGGCAAGCCAGCGGTTTCTATGCAGAAACAGTGAAGAAGTGCAGTGTTTATGCTAAAATATACAATCTTAAAACCTTACAAACCTTGGGAGCCACAACATTTTGTGTCCATTTTACCATCTTGGCTGTAAATATGTCTCAGTATGTGCTGATGTCCGAGTATAGGCTAAAAAATATGAATGAAAACACAGACTTACGTTGCTCTGCTTTAAGCTTTAGCTCAGCTATAGCTGCTTTTCTCGCATCTCCAGCAGGAAACTTTTCCACAAAAGTAGAACAGTTTCTGTAAAATGTCTCTCAACGTTCGTCTTTTTACGAGGCTTCTTTTTTTGCCACCTTCCTGTTCGAATTTTTCCGTTCCACCTTAAATGGTGCCTGAGGTTGCTGCTGCACTATTTAAGGTGGAATGGGAGAATTTAAACAAGAAGCTGGCGAATGAGAAATGACTTCAGCTTCATGACTTTTTAGTGTTTGGCAGTTTCTCGTTCAGATTAAACGTATCAGGAAACCAGCTGGAGTGATTATAAACACAAATAAGTCCATTAGTCTCCAAATTATCGATGTTCGTCTTAAATCTCTCTCTTTGCCGTTTCGTTAGCTACTAGCTAGGCGAGATTGTTGTCTGTGTTGCTACTGGTGACCAGCAGTCTGTGCTGATCTTCAGGGTTAAAGGGTGAATTAGCCGTTCTACATTAACTCCAGAGTTTAAGACCATTTACTGTTGAACTGTGTTGAACGATCAGCAGAGCTTTATTTTACTGTAAAGGAGGATTATTTTATTTTTACCTACTAATCTGATTCAGCTGTGGAGCCACAACAGGACAGTGAAAAAAGGATAAGAAGGGAAACTGCAAATTAGAGTTTTTGCCGAACTGTCGCTTTAACACGGCTGCTAACTCTCATTACAGAGTAGAACTAGAAAATGTATTGTTTGTTAGTTGTTTATTTTCTTGTGTACCTTTTAAAAGTGCTTTTCTTTGTAGATGTCATTTCCGTACAGCAATTGTGTGTATTTGTGTGTGTAATTATGTGTTTATCATGCAGGTAAAGGTCTGACTCCAGCCTCTCCGTATGAATACGGCTCCTTCGGTGAGTTTTATGTTAACTTTGGGCGTATTTTTTTTTTTTATTATTATTTTGTTATTTTTTGCAGTTATATATACACAGAGTGTATATTTTACATACAGTGCAGTAAAGTATAACAGTAATTACAGCAACAATATAAAATAATACATTGGCAACACTGTTTATCCAGTAGTTTTGAAACGTGGACACAGTAGCAAACACTGCACGTCAGTTAAGGTTTGATCTTCAAATAAAATCAAATCTGTCAAATAAAGCAACGTAATAAAAGCTCAGTAAAAATTCTGGGCGATTTGTTGTTTATAGGAATAGAAACCACATTGGGTACTATTGCGACATCCTAGCAACCACCAAAGATACCATAGTGACCACCTAGCAACACCCTAGCAACCATGTGGAACATCATTGCAGGCATCTAGCAACACCCTAGCAACCACCAGAGATACCATAGTAACCACACAGCAACACTCTAGCGACCAACTAGCAGCACCCCAGCAACCACCAGAGATACCTTAGCTACTACATGGAACATCATTGCAGGCATCTAGCAACACCCTAGCAACCACCAGAGATACCATAGTAACCACATAGCAAAACTCTAGCGATCACCTTGCAAAACCCCAGCAACCACCTGGAACATCATAGCAACCGCCTAGCAACACCCTAGCAACCATCAAAGATACCATAGTAACCACACAGCGACACTCTAGCGACCAACTAGCAGCACCCCAGCAACCACCAGAGATACCCTAGCTACTACATGGAACATCATTGCAGGCATCTAGCAACACCCTAGCAACCGACCAGAGATACCATAGTAACCATCTAGCAACAATCTAGCAACCATCAAAGATACCATAGCAACCATCTAGCAACACCCCAGCAACCACCAAAGACACCATAGCAACCACCTAGCAAAACCCTAGCACCCACCAAAGATACCATAGTAACCACCTGGAACATTGTAGCAGCCACCTAGCAACACCCTAGCACCCACCAAAGATACCATAGTAACCACACAGCAACACTCTGGCAACCACCTAGCAACACCCTAGCACCCACCGAAGATACCATAGTAACCACCTGGAACATTGTAGCAGCCACCTAGCAACACCCTAGCAACCACATGGGATGCCATAGCAACCCTGTGGAAAACAGTAGCAAACACCAAGCAGCTCCCTAGCAAGTCATGTCTGTGGTACAGTGTTGTGATGATATCATGTATTATGAAAATGTCTTTATGTATGATGATACAGTATTTTTGATCACCCACCCGACTGGATTCAACTTTTCTTGTACTTTGAGCTTTTCTTGTTTGTTGAGCTTCAATAAAAGGTGTTATATGAATAAATTATAGTATTATTAGTATTAGTATTATTATTATTAGCAGTATTAGTAGTAGTAATAACAGTCTGCAAAATGTTTCTCTCTCTCTCTCTGTCTCTCTCTGTCTCTCTCTCTCTCTCTATCTCTCTCTGTCTCTCTCTCTCTATCTCTCTCTGTCTCTCTCTCTGTCTCTCTCTCTCTGTCTCTCTCTCTCTCTCTCTCTCTCTGTCTGTAGCTGATAACGGCAGCACGTTGAGTTCAGAGCCCGTCACGGACAGTTTGGCGTCAGCTGAAGGCTCCTATGGATACATGGGTACGAAACATTCTCATCAGTAATCTCTGACAAACAGTCTAAACCAGTAAACCTGAACAGACTGAACAGTGACTCCTGCACAGATCAGCACTGTTAGAGTTCAGCAGCCCCGCCCCCGGCCCCTTATTGGCTGCCCTGGATGTGCTCTGGTCTCTGATTGGTTTATCTTTGTCATTCAGGACAGGAGACTTTCAAGCGTCGGCCAATCGGCTCACACCACGTAGCCATCCGCTTCGGTGACACGCCCACTCGCTCAGTCGTCCAATCGCAATCCCTCACTGCAAAATCAGCACCGCCAATCACGCAGTTCTCAGCCAATCCGGAATGATCTTTCAGCGAACGCCCCGATTTGACCAGATGATCAGAAATAAATCCTTGTAAACATTTCAAACAGAAATAAGCGATCAAATATTCAAATCAAGTAAAAGCATCAGTAACAGATCAAAGAGTTTGATCAAAAAAAAAACACGACTGAATTAAAAACGAAAAGAAATATGATGTGATTTGTGAATCATTCAAATAATGAAGGCATGAGTCCCTTTGAGCGAAATCAGCTCAGAAAAACAAATTTGGCACTGAAAAATGTCTATATATGTTAATATTATTTCTGTCTCTCTCCCTCTCTCCCTCTCTCCCTCTCTCCCTCTCTCCCTCTCTCTCTCAGAGCGATCCATGGACACGGTGGGTCGCTGTCGGCAGGAGTCTTTGAGCTCGGTAGAAGAGGACGATTACGACACGCTGGCCGACATCGACTCCGACAAGAACATCGTCCGCACTAAGGTCTGTGTGTCGGGTCCACAGCAGAACTTCTCAAAGAATGGAATTAAGAAAACTGTTCAGGTTCAGATTGTAGCTTTAATACCTGAACGTTTTCAGCACTTAGGTATTTAAAAATGGTTATTATTACCTAAAAGTAGTCGTTATTGTTACGTTATGGATCTGAAATGTAATGTTATGTAAATCTGAAACAATGTTTTGATTGTTTTTGTTTCTAGGAGGTCGGTACAAAAGGAAATCTCATGTTTTATTCTCTTACTGTGGTATAATTCAACACTGTTTTAAAAAAGGCACTGAAATGTCGCTGTTGGAACAAAATCTCGTATCTCCAAAATGGTAACTTTACAGGAGAAGGAAAAAACATTCTTTACTTTTAATGGAAGTCAATGGAACCAGACTTTTTCCCGAAGTAGTTTTGGGCCGTTTCTTTTGGTTTGTTCATCATGAAATTTACACACAATGTAAAGACCAACAGGCACTTTGAAATACGCCAAAAACTGAAAAACGGCAAAAATGGAGATACGATTTTTTCTTCCGACAGCACCAAAATACTACGGAAGTCCAGAGAGGCCATGAGCTGTCGCTGTAATTTTCTGGATTGTTATCTTGAGATAAGTAACTCGATATTTAAAGTTAGCAGTTTTGTTATGTTGAGATAACAAGATAAATAACTTCTCAAGAGAACAACTTTGTTTTCATGAGATTACAAGATAACTCATTACCTGAAGATAACAACTTTTGTTATCTTGGGATAACAAGATAAGTAACTTGTTATTTCAAAATAACAATTCAGAGAATTCTAACTACCTCATGGTCTCTCTGGGGTCCACCAGTGCGTTTACATTATTAAGTAAAGCATCGTTTACACATTTTAATGTACGGTTACTGTTTATTTGCTGGTTCTCACATATTGAGGGAAACGAAACAAAACGTGCCAAAGTTTATATTTTATTTTCATCTTTTTCCAACATGCTAAGCTCAGCAAATAAGTAAAACCTGTGCACTAAAATTTGCAGAAAGATTCCACATTGCAGGGTGCTCTCAGTAGAGGATCCCATTTCTGATTTTTACCCCTACCCCTTGTTTTCGAGAGTCACCTTGCCCCTTAGAACTGAGTTACAGGGTAGTGGGTTGAAATCTTCCTCTGAAATGGGACCCTCAAATAAAAAGAGCATCACTTCATTAACAGCTACCAGCGCTGCACTGTAGGCGACCCTGCCAGTCTGCAGTGACAGCAGAGGAGGGTAAAGTTCAGCTCCTCACTGCTGGGCTTTAGTTACATTTAGGGCATCATATGATCTTCAAAGAGGGGGGCAATTATTTATTATCATCCACCCCTAATTCTTCAGTGATATGAAGCTGAAGTCAGATATTCACCAGCTTCTCGTTCACATTTTCCCGTTCCACCTTAAATGGAGCAGCAGTTACATTCTGGTGCTTCAGGCGTCAGAACTGCTGCACTATTTAAGGTGGAACGGGAAAGTTAGCTAACTAGCTACCGAGACGTTAGCATACTGTTAGCGAGTTTTTATGCTTGTTATGAAAAAAACGACCAAAATACACTGAAACATTGAACTAAGATAAAACAGTGATTATTGTAATTTTTCTCACATTTGTGGGTTTCTTTGGTCTCTTGTTCTCCGTCTCGCCGGTTTTTCTTTTTTTCTCATATCTCTCTGTTTGGAGTCTCTGAAAAACCTCTGTTTTGAGGGTCATGTAGCCCCAACACTTCACCCTCCCCCTCTATCTCAACAAGAATCAGGACACCCTACCCCTAGACGTGAACACGCAAAACAGAGGGGTAGGGCTGAGTGGCGGGAGCGAGGGGTGAAGTGGGATTGGGCCAACGTGCTAACAATTTTTCATTAAGACAATCAACAAAACGTACCTTAACCAGATGCGCCTGTGTGTGTGTGTGTGTGTCTGTGTGTGAGTGTGTGTGTGTGTGTGTGTGTGTGTGTGTGTGTATTGACTCCTGTCTCACTGTGTCGTCCCTGCAGAAGTACCTGTGTGTGGCTGATCTGGCTCGTAAAGACAAGCGCGTCCTGAACAAGAAGTACCAGATCTACTTCTGGTGAGGAAAACAGACGAGCCTCTGTGTCGCCGTTTATAAGATGATCTGTCTTTTTTAGGGTATCCTATGAACACAGCAACCGTGGGTGTTTGTATTGCTGCCTTTCTGAGAACCAAACGTCCTCACAAGGCACCTAAAACAGCTTTTGAGCTCGTTTTTGTTTGCCTGTAAACGTTTACATGCATCTCTTTAGTAGGATTAATGCCTAAAAATAAAAAGAATCTGTCTCAGTACGGCCGGGCGGTGTGACGATATTTATCGTTGTCATGATAAATTACGTCACAGTAAGCTTTGTGGAGCATAGATCATTGTAGTAACTCCACCCTAAGACCTTCTTTTTCATGAACAGTTGAAATGCGCTGCTCTGTAATAATAATAAACACAAGTCTTGCTTAAAATGTGAACATCTTTCCAAACTGTAAAAATATCATTTTTATCACGGTCAGTTCCGCCTCTGCAGCGCCCCCCTCTGCTTCAACTCTGATATAGAAGTATGATGTACGTACTGATGTACCAAGACACGTCACAGTATGCAAATCAGTCAAACAGCGTTCCCGCCCCCTGATGACGCCCTACTCGTGCTGCGCTCATAAATATGAAAGCATGGGAGTCTAGAGCGAGTAGAGAACCACACCCACACGCTGAGCTGAACACCCCCAGCACCACCTCACAAGGCTGCGGTACGCCAGTCTGTACCAACTGTACATAACCCAGTTAGTCTGAGCTCAGCTTGTAATGAAGATGTTGGACTGATAAAGTGAGGATTCTTGCGAGTCTCCATAAAGCTGCTGGTGTTGCATCCGATTCATGTTTCCCTTCACAATTCAGACTCTCGGGCTCGACTCACTGAACAGACATCAGTGGCAACACTGGAACTACAGGCGGTTCAGGAAAGGTTAACGGTAAATGGCCGACTGTGTCAACATTTTGTCCGTTCCTGCTTTCCGTAGTTCCGGCGCTGCTCGCCGTTGATTTCTGTTCAGTGAGTGCGACGCCGGACGGTTCGATTTATGAAGAGGAAGCTGATGTAACACCGGTAAGTGCCTTGGACGGCTTGCAGAGCGTAAGGATTTAGGGCTTACCGGTGATGCAGTCTGTGACCTTGATGTCAAACTGAAGGAAACCTAGACAGAGAATAAAGAAATCCACTTTATTCATTAGGAATTCAGAGTAACTAATGCCAACCACACACTAGAAGACTTTAAAAGACTTCTGAAAGACTGAAGTCTGACTCGCTCTCACATCTAAAGACAGTGTCGCAGGTTTTAGTCACAGAATGTGATTTTGAAAAGACAGGAAATCTTGCAGTGTCACTGTTTACAAGACTGCAACCAGATTTTTGAGATTTCCCATCATGCACCTGGTGGAAATATACAAGCAGAGAAACCCTTTTCCTTCCACTCTATAGTGATACAGATGGGAAGATACATTGGCTGGGTGTTTAAAGATCTGGGGCTCAGTTCACTGTAGAACTGTATAGTCTGGCAGATCATCACCCAGAATCTTTAAATTAACCTGTAAAATGTGCAGTTTTTTATTTAACATGAAGATTTACACACCAACACAACACGCAGCGAATTGGCCTTGTTGAGTGGATATTATGAACTAAGCCATAAGAAACAAACAGTGTAACAGAAACCATTAAGGAAAAAACGGCAATGATTCTTCAATAACGCCGTTCTTAAAGTCCTGAAATATTAAATGTCAGTTTACATTTTAAGTTAATATGATTATTGTATTAAAGTGGAGCAGATTTGCCTTAATACAGAGATTACAGGTTCTCACGTACATTCTCTCTCTCTCACGCGCGGCCCTGGCACGTCACTATTTGCGTGAGCCAAGACTTAAAACCTACGATAATATTAAACACGGTTGATTTTGTCGCAGCGTCAAGACGAGAAAAAGACTGACTTAAGACGACCATCTTGACCACCTCACGCTAAACGATCAAGATGACGCGACGCGACTCTAGCAAGACTCTCACGATTTTATTCCCAACATGGATATTTGTCTGCGACTGTGAAATCACTTGAAAAGTCGTTTGGTGTAAGGCCGGCATGAGAAATCAGGACTCGGGTTATACTGAATACGGAGCTGCTGAACAGATCATTAGAAGCTTAGCTGTCGCGGTTTTAGGGAATGTTCTACCGTTCGGCGCCTCTCCCGATCGCTGCTCATCATTTTCTGGCGCTGCGTTGACTCTTCAGCGGCTTGAGTCAGTGACTCATACTGTTAAGGCTCGAGACGCCCTGCCTGATCAGAAACACCTTCCCTCGTCGAAGATGGGGATGGTAGTGGAGAGAAATCTTCGACCTCGTAAGACTCTCAGTTCCAAAAGTGCCGTTTGATTCTGTCTCTCTCCGTATTTTCTGGTCTAACGTACTCCAGCACTAAAACACAGCAGCCCAGCCCACCCGGTTTCCCTCGCAGCCCCACCTCCAAACCCAAACATCACTACAGGGCCCCTCCCAGCGTCCCCCTCCCATTTTTGAGCATTTTTCAAAGCTGAGCCAGGGGTGGAGTCAGCTGGAAGCAGTAGGGTGTGGTTACTCTTTAAATGTGGTGCTACTTTGCCATATAGTTCATAGTCATTTTGGAAACAGGCTCCATTAATCATACTCTGTGTAACATTTCTTCCTTTCTTTTTTACAGTTTTGTACACATTGGTTAAAACCTATGACGTTGTAGAGTCGCAGCATTGTATTTAAATCATTTTATAAGCTTTTCTGCATAAAAATTTGCTATATAGTTTATAGATTCCACATAGGAAGTCTGGGCAATATAACAGTATATATCGTTATCATGATAAATTGTCGTAATACAAAATATCACTGCATGTTTCTTTAAAAATTAGTCACATTTATCTGGATTTAGTGCCAAATATTGAGGTTTTTGATAGTATTTTTCCTCTATGTAGCACTACTGGCTCTATTTTCTCTCTTCCAACTGATCAAATGGCTAAAAAAATAAATATCATGATGTCGTGTATCGTGAAAAGTATCGCGATATTATATTTTTGCCGTATCGCTCAGCCCTGATTCCAAGCGTTTGAGCGGTGGTGTCAGCTCTACTGACTACTTCCAGTTCAGTCAGTATTCCAGTGGTGTGAACTGTAGTGTGAGTGGTGTGTTTGATCCTCTCTGCAGGAACATCGCCACCATCGCTGTGTTCTACGCCCTGCCGGTGATCCAGCTGGTCATCACCTATCAGACGGTCAGTACCGTCCAGAAGATCGCCCTCTTCCTCTCTCCACTCTGGCTCTGTTTAATGGTGGAGATGTTTGTGGTATTCAGACTCTATTTATTAATTTGTATGTTTATTAATAGGTTGTCAACGTGACGGGAAACCAAGACATCTGCTACTACAACTTCCTGTGTGCTCATCCTCTCGGGGCTCTGAGGTGAGCGCCTGACTGTTTATGCACTGATGAAGTCAATATAAATCTCCAGAATGGTGACTTTAGAAGGCAGAGCCAAAAAGAGAGGCTGGAAAAGGGACATGAAACCATATACAGCTGTGTGCCAAAGTTTGTGCGCCCCTGTTCAAATGATGTTGATTTTAACATGCGTTGGTGCACAGTTACTGTTTATTGGCTCAATTTCGACATAAAATAGAACAGAAAATGTGGCAAAAATTGATTTTTTGTTTATATTTATATACCATATTTATTTGGTTTGACATGAAGTGAAAAATAAGCACATAAAATTACATTTTACGATATGATATAACATAGTTTGCAGCATATACAAAAGCCTAATCTCTTTCCAGCATAATGTTATGGTGGTTTTAGTCATGGCACATTTTATATTTGTGTCCAGAATGTTAAATTCAGCAAATGTCTCATTTAAGTGTGTTCTCTGTATTCAATGTGTTAACCTACTTACACAATCGATAATCGATAAAAATGTCATTTGACAGGGACAGTGCCCAACATAGTGGTATGAAAAATAAAGATACAGGGTTCGAACGGTCATGAAAATCCTGGAAAAGTCATAAAATATAGACATTTGGTTTTCCACACCTAGAAAAGTCATGGAAAATAATAAGTGCTTGAAAACTCATGGAATTTCCAGAACGTTTTCCACGTGGGGTTCGTCGTTCTGAAGCACTGAAGGCTGGTGAAATTCAGTATCGTGGTATTTTCAGACGTCTCCCGAGTATCGTGCTATCAGGTGATTTCAAAGTTTAACATTAATAGAGTTGATGAACTCATGCTTCCTGAGTTTTCTATGTTTTTATGGAATTTACGCAAGTGAGCTAAACGTAAACGATCATTGTCTGCGTACCATGAGTAAAGTAAATGAAATGGCCCTTATCTATCAAATACATCGCAAAAAATATCAGTTAAACAGGAAATGTGTCAGTATCGCGGTATACCGATGTAAACGATATATCGCCCAGCACTGCGCTAAATGTTGGGCATGGAAATTTAATTTTATGCCTTGGAAATCCACTGTTTAAAACCCATGTGTCAAACAGGGATCAGGCCAGTGACAGAATCCTATCCAGCTCGCAGAAGTATTTTAATTTTCTATTAATATAAGCTTGTTTCACAGTGCGCTGCACTACAGTCCCCAGCATGCACTGCAACACAATGTCGCTCCGCCTCTCCTGCTCCAATAACAGCCTATGGGACAGCGGTTACACCTCAATTCTACACCAGTCTTATCACCAAACACACTACCAGCATTTCAGCTGCAGTTCAGCCAACATAAACACTTAATGTGAGCCCAGCAGCTCAGAAACTGAGCCCAAGAATGAATGAACTTGTAGTAAACAAAAGATCTCAGGTGTCTGGATCAAGCAGATAGGAAGGTTTAAAAGGCTGAGCTCCTGGGGACGTTTACATTTTTAATATTTCAAGTATTTATGTAATATTTTAGGGTTCTACTAGGTTCTAGTGCCTGTACTTTACTGTCAGTGGTCAGTTTGGTTTATATACATACATACATACATACATACATCATCTAAACCGCTTATCCTTCTGGGTCGCGGTGGGGTGCTGGAGCCTATCCCAGCTGTCATTGGGCGGAAGGCAGGATACACCCTGGACAGGTCGCCAGTTCACACACACTCACACCTAGGGGCAATTTAGCATGTCCAATTGGCCTGATTGCATGTCTTTGGGAGGAAACCGGAGGACCCGGAGGAAACCCACGCAGACACGGGGAGAACAGGCAAACTCCCCACAGAAATGACCCTGGTCACCCAGCCGGGAATCGAACCCAGGCCATTCTTGCTGTGAGGCGACAGCGCTACCCACTGCGCCACCGTGCCGCCCAGTTTGGTTTATAACAGTGTTAATTAAAAATGAAATGAAACACAGCTGTTCTCTGGTCCACAGATCGGTGGAGGATTTTTAATATGGCTCTGTTAGTGGTTGAGTTTGACACCCCTGGTTTAAAAAGTGTACGAACCCCGAGTCTAAGGAAACTGGGGTCTGCTGGGGTCTCCGTCAAACCCGCCGCCTTGTTATTTTATGACGCATGATGAACGAACAAACAAGCGCGCAGTGCTAACATGTCTCTGTTTGTGTCTGTAGTTCCTTCAACAACATCCTGAGTAACCTTGGTTACGTGATGCTGGGGCTGCTGTTCTTGCTGATTGTGCTGCAGAGGGACATCCTGCACAACCGCGCTCTGGTGCGCAATGACGTCACCGCACTGGTGAGACAGACTCCCACACCAGCTACTCACCAATCTCTCTCTCGGTCAACCACGCACACAGTCCTTCCCCTCATCCGTTCACTCATTTATCCTCACCCATTCTGTTCATCCTTTCATCTCTCTCTCTCTGTTTATCTCTCTCTCTCCTCTCTCTCTCTCTCTCTCTCTCTCTCTCTCTCTCCCTCTGCAGGAGTGCGGTATCCCGAAGCATTTCGGCCTTTTCTATGCGATGGGAACGGCTCTGATGATGGAGGGGCTGCTGAGCGCCTGTTACCACGTCTGCCCGAACTACACCAACTTCCAGTTCGGTACGGCACTCAATAAGAGAGCCATGCAGATTCATACTGGATTAAAATCGCTCCACAATTATTACTGTCAGACTGTAAAACTACACACACTGCAGATTCATACTGGATTAAAATCACTCCACAATTATTACTGTCAGACTGTAAAACTACACACACTGCAGATTCATACTGGATTAAAATCACTCCACAATTATTACTGTCAGACTGTAAAACTACACACACTGCAGATTCATACTGGATTAAAATCACTCCACAATTATTACCTTCAGACTGATAAAACTACACACACTGCAGATTCATACTGGATTAAAATCGCTCCACAATTATTACTGTCAGACTGTAAAACTACACACACTGCAGATTCATACTGGATTAAAATCACTCCACAGTTATTACTGTCAGACTGTAAAACTACACACACTGCAGATTCATACTGGATTAAAATCGCTCCACAATTATTACTGTCAGACTGTAAAACTACACACACTGCAGATTCATACTGGATTAAAATCACTCCACAATTATTACGTCAGACTGTAAAACTACACACACTGCAGATTCATACTGGATTAAAATCACTCCACAATTATTACGTCAGACTGTAAAACTACACACACTGCAGATTCATACTGGATTAAAATCGCTCCACAATTATTACTGTCAGACTGTAAAACTACACACACTGCAGATTCATACTGGATTAAAATCGCTCCACAATTATTACTGTCAGACTGTAAAACTACACACACTGCAGATTCATACTGGATTAAAATCGCTCCACAATTATTACTGTGACACTGTAAAACTACACACTGCAGATTCATACTGGATTAAAATCGCTCCACAATTATTACTGTCAGACTGTAAAACTACACACACTGCAGATTCATACTGGATTAAAATCACTCCACAATTATTACTGTCAGACTGTAAAACTACACACACTGCAGATTCATACTGGATTAAAATCACTCCACAATTATTACCTTCAGACTGATAAAACTACACACACTGCAGATTCATACTGGATTAAAATCGCTCCACTATTATTACAGTCAGACTGTAAAACTACACACACTGCAGATTCATACTGGATTAAAATCACTCCACAATTATTACCGTCAGACTGTAAAACTACACACACTGCAGATTCATACTGGATTAAAATCACTCCACAATCAGTCAGTATTGGTGCACAGTTTTAAATGGACGTTAATCCATGTTTTTCTCTCTCTGTCAGATACGTCCTTCATGTACATGATAGCTGGGTTATGTATGCTGAAGCTGTATCAGAAGAGACACCCGGACATCAACGCCAGCGCCTATACGGCGTACGCCTGCCTGGCTGCGGTCATTTTCTTCTCCGTACTGGGAGTGGTGAGTATATACATTTCATTTTCATACGATGCCAAGATGCGGAGGTCACACATATATCTATATGGGTCATTCTACAGAAACGTCCACTTTTCTGTCTCTGCATAGGAGTCATTGGTGTTACCGATCCTCATTGGTGTTACACATAATAAAGGTACACCAGTGACACGACTCCTGGGGACAACTTTCATTATATATTTTATAATATTTATTTGCCGTTTGTTTTCTTGTCATTTAATTTATATATTTCATAGTCAAGTATAGATTATTGCAGTTAAAATTGCAGAAAAACGTGTTTTTTTATCTTCAAAATATGGCCTCAGCCTTCACACATGACTGTGCGGACGAGCTCTTCTGTGGAGCTTGGAATTCTATATGATTGATTTAAAAACCAATATTGCTAAATTGAGGCTCAAGAAGGTGTAACTGTTAAAATAACTTTAGTTTTATTTTAAAATATGAATAAATTGTAACCCTAATGTGTTTTTCAAGTAATATATCTGTAAACGCTAGGGACACAAAAATGGACATTCTATAGAATGACACGGGTGTGTGTGTGTGTGTGTGTGTGTGTGTGTGTGTGTGTGTGTGTGTGTGTGTGCGCGTGTGTGTGCGCGTATGTGTGTGTGCGCGTGTGTGTGCGCGTGTGTGTGCGCGTGTGTGTGCGCGTGTGCGTGCGTGTGTGTGTGTGTATGTATATACCAGTTGCTTACAGGTGTATAAAATCAAGCACATAGCCTTGCAGTCTCCATAGACAAGCACTGAATCTCATTCACAATACACTGCATTACTGAATCAACTTGACGTTAACAGTTAAACAGTGCCCACCGGTGGACCCAAAGCGTTATCACACACTTCTATAACCTAAGAATCGCTCAGCCAGTTTGCATTGAAGGCCCTGTATTTACTGAATAATAAGCCTTAGTATGTAATAAGCTTAAGATTTTAAGGGGGTTTAACACAAAAAGAAACGTAACATGTACCTTACAGGTAAATAACACCAGCAGTCATTACTCAGGTTATCATTGTTGTTCACATTCTGTTTGATTATTGTTTATATTTCTGTTTATATTATATTATTAAAAAACATATTGTTGCTGTCATGTAGTGTATTGGTTTCAGTAATGTTCTCTCTCTCTCTCTCTCTCTCTCTCTGTCTCTCTCTCTCTCTCTCTCTCTCTGTAGGTGTTTGGTAAGGGTAACACAGCGTTCTGGATTGTGTTCTCGGTCATTCATATCCTGGCCACACTGCTGCTCAGTACTCAGCTCTACTACATGGGCCGCTGGAAGCTGGGTGAGACACACATGATCCACACAGTCACTCAGACAGACTGTAATACACTACAGGAAGTGTAGGGGGCGATATAAATAACGAAGTAAATTAACAGAGTAACAGTTTAAGTGATTTTCTAGAAAGAATAGTCAGTTGCTGCTGTACTGAACAGCCTCATAGTGGAACAGTGACGAAACACAGCAGGGTGACTGTTTGTCTGTGTTCTAGACTCTGGAATCATGCGCCGGATGCTGTATGTGATCTACACTGACTGCATTCGCCAGTGCAGCGGACCCATGTACATAGTGAGTATAAAGGACACGTTCACTTCCTGTGTCTCTCCCATAATCTCTCTTTAATATATACAGTCAGTCCCATTATTACTGACACCCCTGGCAAAGATGGTTGAAAAAAGTATGAAAAAAAGACCAAAAATGAATCTTTAATAGAAGTAAATGCTGTGAAAAGCCCATTTCAAAGGGACCGTATCATGGAAAACTGAATTTCCCTCACTTTTTTGAAATGAACAGTTCGATGTAGCATGTAAAAACCGTTAAAGTTCCAAAACGTGAACCTGCCCGGAGGAGGACGCGTGTACTTTACTCTGCGCGCAGTGAGGGGGACGATTAGAGGGGCAGGAACTTCTCACGGTTGGAGATTTTTCAGAAGACAGTGGCATTTCAGGGTCACGAAGTCTCTGGAAACCTTAGACGCTGTGTTCACGCTGCACACAGCATTTGGAAAGAAGAAGCAATGATGAAGCCTTTTCTGTCCTCCAACCACAAATGTAGGAAATGCAGAAAAGAACTTCATCTCCACTGTTACGTATGGACTCCGTTCACACAGCAGGTAAAAGTGACCCAAATCCGATTTTCTCACCAAATCTGATTGTTTTGTTTGTCTGTTCAGATTATCTTTTAAATGTGATCTGTATGCGACATCAGTCTGAACAGATCAGCTCCTAAACTGACCCGCATGTGCAAACAGAGCGTCACGCTGCTTCACGGCTCATCTAGAGGTAAACAATCACGACCGCCAACGAACGCCAGTCGCTCCCGGAGGATCAGCTTCATCTTCACCAGCCTCACAGGAGCCATCATGAAGCTTCACTGACTGACAGCTGGGCTCATCACCCAGAATGTGTTCGAGTTCGCTGCAGCCTCGTTCTCCTGCGGCCGCGTTCGGCCATTTCTTTCGAAATCTCTTTGAACACGGAGGGTTTGATGAGACTAATTTTTTGGTGCAGAAGCATCAGACTAAATGTTTGAGTCTCAGCAGTGTGAAATTATGATGAATGTCGAGTTGGACTGACGTAAAAGTCGCCTGAATTCCGATCTGGCTGCTTTGAGCCGCATTGCTGCCGATCGGATACGTATCGGATTTCAGTACCACATATGAAAGCGTCTCAAATCAGAATTGAAAATGTCAGACTCAGTGTGTTTATCTGTTCACACTGACACACATCTGAGTCACATATGAAGAAAAAGATCAGATTTGCGCCACTTTTACCTGCTGAGTGAACAAAGCCGTAGTGGGGAGTCTGTGATGATGTAGGGCTGCTTTTCCTCCAGAGGATCTGGAAAGAACCTTGTTAGGTGACACAAATGTCTAACGTGTCTTGTTTCTTCTGTAAGGATCGAATGGTGCTGCTGGTGATGGGCAACATCGTTAACTGGTCTCTGTAAGTACTTGTTCTCACCGCGCACGTTGTTTGCATGCATTATAAAGAGTTCCGAGGTGTGTTAACTCTGTTCTGTGTGGTCAGGGCTGCGTACGGACTCATTAAAAGGCCGAACGACTTCGCCTCGTACCTCCTGGCTATCGCCATCTGTAACCTGCTGCTGTACTTCGCCTTCTACATCATCATGAAGGTAAACGAGTGAATAAACATGTTGAGAGAATTTGAGTGAGACTGTTAGATTGTATTCGTTTGTGTGTTGTATTTAGTGTGTAGTATGTAAGTACATACTCTGGGTGGGAGGGGTGTAAAAGTGGATATGATGATATGAATTTGGTCTCCTAACCCCTTAGAACTGAGTTACAGGGTAGTGGGTTGAAATCTTCCCTCTGAAATGAGACCCTCAAATAAAAAGAGCATCACTTCATTAACAGCTACCAGCGCTGCTCTGTAGGCGACCCTGCCAGTCTGCAGTGACAGCAGAGGAGGGTAAAGTTCAGCTCCTCACTGCTGGGCTTTAGTTACATTTAGGGCATCATATGCCTTCAAAGAGGGGGGCAATTATTTATTATCGCCCACCCCTAATTCTTCAGTGATATGAAGCTGAAGTCAGATATTCACCAGCGTCTTGTTCAAATTTTCCCGTTCCACCTTAAATGGTGCAGGAGTTACATTCTGGCGCTTCAAGCGTCAGAACTGCTGGGCTATTTAAGGTGGAACGGGAAAGTTAGCTAACTAGCTACCGAGACGTTAGCATACTAATGATTTTTTTTAACGCTTGTTATGAAGAAAAGGACGAAAATTCCCTGAAACGACATTAAACTAAGATAAAACATAAAACTGTTAGGAATTTATCTCTGTTTGGAGGGTCATGTAGCCCCAACACTTCACCTACCCGTCTATCTCAACAAGAATCAGGACACCCTACCCCTAAACGTGAGGGGTAGGGCTGAGTGGTATTGGCGAAGAGGTGAAATGGGGTTGGGCCTAAAGCCGGGGTCACACTGCACAACCTTTACCCTGATTTTGGCCCTGTTTCTCTGTCTGGCTGAGTCTGACCTGGTCAGCTCTAGCCTGCAGAGTATTGGGTCAGTCGGAGTCGACGGCTGGAGAGGAAAATGGAGGGGGCAGGGTTTAGAGGGGTGGGTGGACCCTCGTTAGCTGTGGATTTTACAATTCAGCACCAAAAGTTTACCAGTTTGTCCTCAGACGTGCTCTCGGTACACGGTCATGTCTGACCACAGGACTCTGATTCAGCTCTGATTCAGATTAGCTGATAGCTAAACTAGCTAACCTAACTAAATATCCTGTACTGTATTGTGTCTTTGTGTGTGTGTGTCTTTGTGTGTGTGTGTGTGTGTGTGTGTGTCTTTGTGTGTGTGTGTCTTTGTGTGTGTGTGTGTCTTTGTGTGTGTGTGTGTCTTTGTGTGTCTGTGTGTGTGTGTGTGTGTGTGTGTGTCTTTGTGTGTGTGTGTGTCTTTGTGTGTGTGTGTGTGTCTTTGTGTGTGTGTCTGTGTGTGTGTGTGTATCTGTGTGTGTGTGTATGTGTGTGTGTGTGTGTGTGTGTGTGTCTGTCTGTGTGTCTGTCTGTCTTTGTGTGTGTGTCTGTGTGTGTCTGTGTGTGTGTGTGTGTGTGTCTTTGTGTGTGTGTGTGTGTGTGTGTGTGTGTGTCTTTGTGTGTGTGTGTGTGTGTGTGTGTGTGTCTTTGTGTGTGTGTCTTTGTGTGTGTGTGTGTGTGTGTGTGTGTCTTTGTGTGTGTGTGTGTGTCTTTGTGTGTGTGTGTGTGTGTGTGTCTGTGTGTGTCTTTGTGTGTGTGTGTGTGTGTGTGTGTCTGTGTGTGTGTGTGTCTTTGTGTGTGTCTGTCTGTCTTTGTGTGTGTGTCTGTGTGTCTGTGTGTGTGTGTGTGTCTTTGTGTGTGTGTCTGTGTGTGTGTGTGTGTCTGTGTGTGTATTTGTGTGTGTGTCTGTGTGTGTGTGTGTGTCTGTGTGTGTCTTTGTGTGTCTGTCTTTGTGTGTGTGTCTGTGTGTGTGTCTGTGTGTCTTTGTGTGTGTGTGTGTGTCTTTGTGTGTGTGTCTTTGTGTGTGTGTGTCTGTGTGTGTGTCTTTGTGTGTGTGTGTGTGTGTGTGTGTCTGTCTTTGTGTGTGTGTGTCTGTGTGTGTGTCTGTGTGTGTGTCTTTGTGTGTGTGTGTCTTTGTGTGTGTGTGTCTTTGTGTGTGTGTGTGTGTCTGTCTTTGTGTGTGTGTCTGTCTTTGTGTGTGTGTGTGTGTGTGTCTGTCTTTGTGTGTGTGTGTGTGTGTGTGTGTGTGTGTGTGTGTGTGTGTGTGTGTGTGTGTAGCTGCGGAGCGGAGAGCGGATCCACTGTTTGGCGCTGGTGTGTATCCTCTTCACCGCTGTGGTTTGGGGCTTCGCGCTCTTCTTTTTCTTCCAGGGACTCAGTACCTGGCAGGTGAGTGTCTCTCTCTCTCTCTCTCTCTCTCTCTCTCTCACACACACCACACACCTGTTGTGTATTTCTGTACTTGTGAGAACTGACCCCACTCTGAAGACCAGTTTTAGTACTCGATGCTAAAAGAATGTCGCACAAACCTGCATAACATGTTGTAGTAGAACCGTTTGGTTTTGTTTTCCTCTCTTGAAATTAGACCAAAGGGAACTTTACACAGTGCTGTAAACGATAATCAGACAGAGGAGCACATTTCACAAAGGAAACTCACTGTTTATTTCATTTTTATACACAGCGTGTCCCAAACAAACTGACATCCTTTGAGATGTGAGTATCTGAGTAACTGCGTCCTACGCAAACGAAATGAAACAGGCTTCCTGTTGAACAAAACAAGATTTATTTAAGAAAATTCGAACAAGAAATTCAGAGCGATGTAGATTTAATAACCGATTTCACAGATGTTCAATATGAGCATCCGTCTTTAAGGCTTGAAGGAGCTGCAGCTTATAGGGTTTCATTCGCAGGCGTTTCCTTACGACACGCCGAAGTGTCGTACGAGGAATCTGGGTTTCCAGAGATGCTCTTCTTACAGACTTTCTGGGGCTTCGCACAAACGTTTCTCGGACCTGATTGACGATATCTTCCGATACCGGTGGTCGTCCAGATCCCTCTGCGCTGCACAGACAGCCTTCCTCTTTGAGTTTTTTGTGCCGTGTCCAATTCTGCTTTCCAGTTGGTGCGTTTTTATTGAATTTTCTCAAAAATGCCGCTGCACACTCGTTTGACCGTGTTTGAGCAGATTCTAACACACTAAATGCCTTTTCATTTCTAGTGGACGCCGTTCTTCAACCTGAAAAACATTAAAAATTAAACTTGGTTAGTTTTTACACATTTTGTTAAAATTTGAGATCATTTGAGGGAGAATTGGCTGTTATTAGACCACGAAATGATGTCAGTTTTTTTGGGACACCCTGTATTTTAAACAGTTCATTTAAAACAATCTCAAGAACAAAAAACACAGTGCAGTTAACGAAGTTTCTGTCTGTACTGATAAATCTAACAATCAGTTCTGTTGTATGACCCCCAACATGACACCTCCCTCTCTCTCTCCCTCCCCTCTCTCTCCCTCTCTCTCCCTTCCCCTCTCTCTCGATCGCTCTCTCTCTCGCTCGCTCCCTCTCTCCCTCTCTCTCTCTCTCTCTCTCCCCCCCCTCTCTCTCTCCCTCTCTCTCTCTCTCCCTCCCCCTCTCTCTCCTCCCTCTCTCTCTCTCTCTCTCTCTCTCCCCCTCTCTCTCCCTCTCTCTCTCTCTCTCTCTCCCTCTCTCTCCCTCTCTCTCTCTCCCTCCCCCTCTCTCTCCCTTTCTCCCTTCCCCTCTCTCTCCCTTCCCCTCTCTCTCTGTCGTGCTCTCTCTCTCTGTCGTGCTCTCTCTCTCCCTCCCCTCACTGTGTAGAAAACGCCGGCCGAGTCTCGTGAGCACAACCGGGACTGTATCCTCCTCTCGTTCTTTGACGATCACGATATCTGGCACTTCCTGTCATCCATCGCGATGTTCGGCTCCTTCCTGGTGAGTCCGCGGCGAGAGTCGTGTGCCGAAACACGTTAAACACAGTAAAAAAGTTCAGTCCGAAGTTTTGTTACCAGAAGGCTGTAATTGTAACAGCACCTTATTATTATTGTGATGTTGGGAATTTAAATATATTCATTTTTTGATATTGTGGTATCAAAAATAGTAGAATAGTAAAGATTGTGATATAAATTGAAGTCCACGTCGCCCACTTGTGGCACGTACAGTAGGCGATGGATGTTCGGCTCCTTCCTGGCGGCTCCACAGTAAAAACACTAAAAACCTACTGGAATTCCAGTAAACATAGCAAACACACTCAAGATCAAACTCGTAATAGACACTCATTAAAAAAGCATATGAATAAACACACTTTCAAAAAATACTAGTGAACATGTTAGTAAACTACACTTTCAATAAAGATGGTTCTTCAAGGGTTCTTTAGTGAAGAAAATGGTTCTGTATAGAACCATGAACACTCAAATAACCCTCTGCATGATTAAAGGGTTCTTTGCATCATGAAAGGGTTCTTCAGATTGATGGAGAATGTGCTGTAGACAATTCTAAACATAGAACCTATTGTCACGATGTCAAGCATGTAACAATAGAAGAACCCTTTGGGTCCTATATAGAACCCTTTTCAAAAAGGTTCAATATAGAATCATCTGCAGCACATTCATGCATGTTTTCCATCAATCTAAGGAACCCTTTCATGATGCAAAGAACCCTTTAATCATGCAGAGGGTTATTTGAGCGTTCATGGTTCTAGATAGAACTAATTTCTTTCACTAAAGAACCCTTGAAGAACCATCATTTTACAAAGCAGACTGCTATATTATTAAACATATTAATAAGTAGCCCTGAAAACATACTAGTGTCTTTACAGTAAACATACCTGTAAAAATACCTGTAAACGCCAGTAAACAGACATTATTCGTAAAGGTTAATGCTTGTTTACCCGTCTGTGCTCCTCTCAGGTGCTCCTGACGATGGACGATGACCTGGACAGCGTCCAGAGAGACAAGATCTACGTCTTCTAACTCCTTTTCTAGCCAATCACTGCACAAACCGGCAGCGTTCGCTGCCCTGAGGGTGGGTCGACCGCACTGGACCGGACCGAGTGAGCCGGGGGCTCTGCGTAGAACAGGACACTGAATGTGCCGATCACACCCGCCTGGTTCACTTTGCACCTGCTGGAGCTCGTCCTGTTGTTGTCGTCGTCGCCGTGGTAACGGTCAATCTGTCTCCATGACGCTGTGTCTTTCGAAACGATGATGGTCAACGCTTCAACGGTTTAAATCGAGAATAATCAGACCTGCCATGCAAACGTCAATGCATTTTGTCAATTCTGTGCTGCGTGTTTGAGGGTGTGTGTGTGTGTGTGTGTTTCTGACCTTCTGTGTGTGTGTGAGTGTGTGTGTGTGAGTGTGTGTGTGAGTGTGTGTGTGTGTGTGTGTGTGTGTGTGAGTGTGTGAGTGTGTGTCCAGATGACTTGTGGCCTTCCATGTTTCGATTTGGGGTCCTGTTGGGTTTAACTGATCGCAGAAGAATTACTGTAGCTGTTCAGCCTTTTCAGAAGATGATGATAACGCTGGTGGTGGAATCGATTTGCACTGTAAAAATGCTTTTAAGAAAAAATGTTACAGAATAAAGTCTTTGTATGTTTTTCAATACTGTAAATGTTTCCACCTGAGCCTCTTTTAACATCTTATACTGGACACAGTTAAGGATATTATTAAAGCGATAGTTTGGTGGCTGATTTCAGCCTCGTAAAAAGTCGAATGTTGAGAGAAACTGTTCTACTTTTGCGGAAAAGTTTCCTGCTGGAGATGTGAGAAAAGCAGCTACAGCTGATCTGAAGCTTAAAGCAGAGCAAAGTAAGTCTGAGTCCTATACTACAACATCAGCGCATACTGAGACATATTAACAGCCAAGATGGTAAAATAGACAAAATGTTGTGGTTTGATTTTTGTTGAAACGAAAAAAATGGCTCTTTTATAACATCTGGGCTGCGACCCCTGGACTGGACAATAAGTCAACGACAGTTAGTGTGGTGCCCAAAACGTTGACCTCAGCTCCTCAGCTCACTTTAAACTGCGTCCAGTCGTTAAGCGATCTCAAATAGACTCGCTGCTCATTTGTCTTCCGTCGTAACTTTTATGTATATATTTAACATTCGCTGCAGAGCCAGACATGCAACCGAATGAAGGCTGACGGGACAAAGTGGACAATGCAGTGCTGTAGTGAGAGAGTGGACGTTAAAGAGGTACCTGGCCTCACTACTGCTCAATCAGATCCTCACAGCAATGTTCCAACATCGAGTAAAGTCTTCCCAGAAGAGCAGAGGCTGTTACTGCAGCACAAACTCACTATTAACACCCTTCATTTCAGAAGAAACCCTGAGGAGCAGGTCACAATTTTGGACACAGCATCTTAAAATATGTAATACATATTTACACTGGGGGGCTCGGGGAGGGGCCGGTTGGGGGGGCAGGCTTTCCCAAAGTGGGTGCCGCCAAATACTTCGGTAAGATTCGGAATTTACCTCACAAATCCTGCTTACATTCCAAACGCGATGGCCTTAATTCACCATCCGTTCTGAAGAGGTAGTTTCTTCTTAAAACCCACTTAGTTTTACGCAGTTACACATTTTGGAGAATGAGGCATGTAATCAGATTCTGATGTATCAGATTCTGATGTAATCTAATCTGCCTGTCCCTGTTTTCTGAATTTGATAGTAAAAGACAAAGTAAATTGTTGCCAACAACGGCCAAACGAAGTTTAAAATACCCCCAGTGTTGACCCTTGTGTGGTGATGTGTGTGTTATTGTTTATTTAAATCAATACAGCCATAAAAATTAATGTAAAAATACCAGATGTTTAAAATATCACAAGTGTCCAGCGTAGGGTTCTCATTTAGCAGCTGTAGCCAGTCAGCAGCCTGTCCATGTTGTCCACACCCTCACACACACACACAGACTAACAGCAGGCCATGTAGGAGGAGAACAGAGTGAAGGACACAGCACCTCCACACTTTTATTCCCTGCAACCATTACCCTTTTTTTTTTTTAGTAACCATTGAAAATGGGTCCCACAGACCCCAAAACCACACAAGGGTTAAAAATCTTAACGAATCTGTGGGCAGCTGTGTTTTTATTTCATTTTGACTTATTTATATTTAAAATATGCCAAAACAGCAAAATAGGAACTGAATACTTAAACTATTCAAAAATAATTTTAAATAAAACCAAACTGTTTTATATAAAACTATAGGCCACATCAGCTACAGATAACAGTGAAACCTCAGTGTCCCCAGGAGGCAGGTTTTAAAAACCCTGCCTGTTTGCTTGAACTGGACACAGGCATCTTTTCTTTTTGTGTAACTGCTGCAGAGCCGGTTTATGAGGAGTCTGGCCACTTCTTATTTCCCCCGTTATATCAAAAACAGGACTGCTAAACAGCAGAGGGCGCCCGCGAGCGAGTCCTCAATGAATGGGAGTGAACGAGCTCAACGGCTAAAAACAAACAGTTAAAATAGTTTCTAATCACTGAACCAGAACTTTCCTTTAATTTTAGACAGTGGAAGGATGGATTTCACTAAATAAACAAAGAAATCTCACCTGTATGTTTCCTTTATTCTACAGCAAACGGTTTTGGGCAGCAGGACGCTAACATAACTGCTGCTGAGTGCTGATTGGTTGGCGAGCGGAGCTGCTCATTGGCTGTTCGCGCTCACTGACGTCATGAACGTACACGAGGCGCCGTTTTAAACTCCTGTAACTCGAGTTTAAAAATATAACAGCAGTGTTAAAATGTTTTACGCTGCTCTGTGATCAGGAAATTAATGTATTATTTTATATTCAAAATGTTTCAGCATTTATAAACTATGATTTTACACAAATGCTCCATAGCAACCCGTTCATTTTGGACTCACTCGGGAGCGCCCTCTAGTGTCTGAGGAAACCGGAAGACATTACAGAGCAGTAATTCTCCTCTCTACGAGTTCTCTGACCGCTGACCCATGGATTCTTATTGGAGGAAAGGACTTAGAGCAATGTTGCAATGCATGCTGGGGACTGTAGTGCATCTCAGGGTGAAACGGGCTAATATAAATAGAAAAGTACAATAACTTCACGGGCCTGTTTTGGCCCACGGGCCTTGTGTTTGACATGTAGGGCTTGAACTCAACTGAATTTGACAGCAAACGGCAAACGACACTGCTCAAAAAAATAAAGGGAACACTCGAATAACACATCCTAGATCTGAATGAATGAAATATTCTCATTGAATACTTTGTTCTGTACAAAGTTGAATGTGCTGACAACAAAATCACACAATCATCAATGGAAATCAAATTTATTAACCAATGGAGGCCTGGATTTGGAGTCACACACAAAATTAAAGTGGAAAAACACACGACAGGCTGATCCAACTTTGATGTAATGTCCTTAAAACAAGTCAAAATGAGGCTCAGTATTGTGTGTGGCCTCCACGTGCCTGTATGACCTCCCTACAATGCCTGGGCATGCTCCTGATGAGGTGGCGGATGGTCTCCTGAGGGATCTCCTCTCAGACCTGGACTAAAGCATCCGCCAACTCCTGGACAGTCTGTGGTGCAACGTGACGTTGGTGGATGGAGCGAGACACGATGTCCCAGATGTGCTCAATCAGATTCAGGCCTGGGGAATGGGCGGGCCAGTCCATAGCTTCAATGCCTTCATCTTGCAGGAACTGCTGACACACTCCAGCCACATGAGGTCTAGCATTGTCCTGCATTAGGAGGAACCCAGGGCCAACCACGCCAGCATATGGTCTCACAAGGGGTCTGAGGATCTCATCTTGGTACCTAATGGCAGTCAGGCTACCTCTGGCGAGCACATGGAGGGCTGTGCGGCCCTCCAAAGAAATGCCACCCCACACCATTACTGACCCACTGCCAAACCGGTCATGCTGAAGGATGTTGCAGGCAGCAGATCGCTCTCCACGGCGTCTCCAGACTCTGTCACGTCTGTCACATGTGCTCAGTGTGAACCTGCTTTCATCTGTGAAGAGCACAGGGCGCCAGTGGCGAATTTGCCAATCCTGGTGTTCTCTGGCAAAATGCCAAGCGTCCTGCACGGTGTTGGGCTGTGAGCACAACCCCCATCTGTGGACGTCGGGCCCTCATACCATCCTCATGGAGTCGGTTTCTAACAGTTTGTGCAGACACATGCACATTTGTGGCCTGCTGGAGATCATTTTGCAGGGCTCTGGCAGTGCTCCTCCTGTTCCTCCTTGCACAAAGGCGGAGGTAGCGGTCCTGCTGCTGGGTTGTTGCCCACCTACGGCCTCCTCCACGTCTCCTGGTGTACTGGCCTGTCTCCTGGTAGCGCCTCCACGCTCTGGACACTACGCTGACAGACACAGCAAACCTTCTTGCCACAGCTCGCACTGATGTGCCATCCTGGATGAGCTGCACTACCTGAGCCACTTGTGTGGGTTGTAGAGTCCGTCTCATGCTACCACGAGTGTGAAAGCACCACCAACATTCAAAAGTGACCAAAACATCAGCCAGAGAGCAGAGGTGCTGAGAAGTGGTCTGTGGTCCCCACCTGCAGATCCACTCCTTTATTGAGTGTGTCTTGCTAATCGGCAATGATTTCCACCTGTTGTCTATTCCATTTGCACAACAGCAGGTGAAATTGATCGTCAATCAGTGTTGCTTCCTAAGTGGACAGTTTGATTTCACAGAAGTTTGATTTACTTGGAGTTATATTGTGTTGTTTAAGGGTTCCCTTTATTTTTTTGAGCAGTGTATTTAGTTTAAAATATGCCTATTATTGATAACTTACATCTAGTCCATCCATTTGTTTTGTAGCCACACCCCCTCTGTAATGTTCAGACGTCAGAGGGGGCTCAATACAGTCTGAGTGACCCCGACATCCCACCCCAGCGTGTGAGGGAGGTAACGCAGCAGGCTTTCTCTGAAGTGTTGGTGAAACAGGTCTTCATTTTATCGCCCCGCCCTCCAAACAGCCCGACTCCGCCCCTGCACAGACTCCAGTCACTGTACGCTGGTATAAACTCCCTCCACACCAGACTGACCAACAGACCACAGCCGAGCCTCGCTGATATAAAACACTGCGTTTATTTGGTTTTTACAAAAATAACTGTAAAAATTCACGTCTACACAAACGGGAGGGTTTCACAGGCTGATCGTCACCTGGTCCCGACGTGACGTCTGTAAACAACCTTGTGCTTTTTTCGGAATTTCATATGGCTTACGCACCGCGCCTCCGGGAAGAGAGAGATATGCAGGACGTCAGAGCTGCCCTGAGGTCGTTTCATCCGCCGCTGAAGTGATAGTTTGGTGAAAAATCTCGTTTTTGGTGAAAGTTTGTTTATTAAGTTGCTGCAGTTTCTGATCCGGTTAAATGAGATTTTTATCAGCCTGTATCTGTTTTACACACATTTGTGGGTTAAACACTGACGGTCAATTATTTCCTTATTTCTACCCTCACGGTCCACTTTATCAGCTCCACTGACCACATAGTTTCAGACTGTAGTCCATCTGTTTCTCTGCACCCTGTTCTTCAGTGGTCAGGACCCCCATGGACCCCCACAGAGCAGGCACTATTTGGGTGGTGGGTCATTCTCAGCACTGCAGTAACACTGATGGTGGTGGTGGTGTGTTAGTGTGTGTTGCGCTGGTACGAGTGGATCAGACACAGCAGTGCTGCTGGAGTTTTTAAACACCTCAGTGTCACTGCTGGACTGAGAATAGTCCACCAACCAAAAATATCCAGCCAACAGCCTCCTGTGGGCAGCGTCCTGTGACCACTGATGAAGGACTAGAGGATGACCAACACAAACTGTGCAGCAGCAGATGAGCTATCGTCTCTGACTTTACATCTACAAGGTGGACTGACAAGGTAGGAGTGTCTAATAGAGTGGACAGTGAGTGGACACAGTGTTTAAAAACTCCAGCAGCACTGCTGTGTCTGATCCACTCGTACCAGCGCAACACACACTAACACACCACCACCACGTCAGTGTTACTGCTGAGAATGACACACCACCCAAATAGTACCTGCTCTGTGAGGGTCCATGGGGGTCCTGACCACTGAAGAACAGGGTAAAAGGGGGCTAACAAAGTATCAGAGAAACAGATGGACTACAGTCTGTAACTGTAGAACTACAAAGTGCACCTATATGGTAATATAAATGTATCTTTCTGTCACATTTTATTGTCCTCCTGTCATCACACACTAATGTGGGTCTGTGAGCCTGTCCTTCAGAGGGACGCTGCACCCGAGGAAGACCTTTTAATAGCAGAACAGGGTCTTTCCTTCTGAAGGAACCCAGTTTTACCATTTTCTTCAGTTCAGTCTCTGCAGCTCTCACACAGTTATAGCTCCCTCAGTGCTTCGGGGCCTCGTTAGTGTCATATCTCGTCACTGTCACAGCAAAGCCTCGTATCTGAAATGAGCTGAACAGGAGAAACTGTAACAGGTCATTCTGGATCATTACCGGTCCATTCATCATGAAACGCACACGATTTAGAAAGGAACGAATGGGAGTTACAAGGTTCTGACGTGACAGTGACACTCAGTGCTGTTATGAGTCTCTCAGACTGTTTCTCTCTCACTGTGAAACACACAGACACATTAAAGCTCCCTCTGTCCGTCCTTGGTCAGTAATGGAACACCTTTATCTGATTGTTCTCGTCCAGGCTGAGTTGGACCAAACCACTCGTGGAGGGGGGGGTTCTGTAGCGTGAGAACAGCGGCCTGAGCAGCAGTTAAGGACTCAGTAATGTGTGAAAGGCTGGAAATGCAAATAAACACACTCGCTTCCACTGACTGGCCACTTTATTAGAAACGCCCACCCTGCGCTTCCACTGACTGGCCACTTTATTAGGAATGCCCACCTTGCACTTCTTCTAACTGGCCACTTTATTAGGAACGCCCACCTTGCACTTCTTCTAACTGGCCACTTTATTAGAAACACCCACCCTGCGCTTCCACTGACTGGCCACTTTATCAGAAACACCCACCCTGTGCTTCCAGTGACTGGCCACTTTATTAGAAACACCCACCTTGCACTTCTTCTAACTGGCCACTTTATTAGAAACACCCACCCTGCGCTTCCACTGACTGGCCACTTTATCAGAAACACCCACCCTGTGCTTCCAGTGACTGGCCATTTTATTAGAAACGCCTACCTTGTGCTTCCACTGACTGGCCACTATATTAGAAACACCCACCTTGTATTTCGACTGACTGGCCATTTTATTAGAAATGCCTACCTTGTGCTTCCGCTGACTGGCCACTTTATTAGAAACACCCACCCTGTGCTTCCGCTGACTGGCCACTTTATTAGAAACACCCACCCTGTGCTTCCGCTGACTGGCCACTTTATTAGGAATGCCCACCTTGTGCTTCTTCTAACTGGCCACTTTATTAGGAATGCCCACCTTGTGCTTCTTCTAACTGGCCGCTTTATTAGGAATGCCTACCTTGTGTTTCTACTGACTGGACACTTTATTAGAAACACTGACTTGATACTTGATACTTGATACAACCACCCAAATAATATCATCAGAAGCTGACCAATGATGATTGGGGTAGAGCGCTGAGTTTGGGCAGTTGTGCAGCAGATGGGTTACAGGTAAACCTACAGAGAGCACCTGTGTGGTAGGTATATGTGATATTGTAGATATAATGTCCAGTGACCTAATAAACAGGCATTTATGTAAGTGTGGGTAAGGATACATATTGGGGTCTTTGCGTCGTGTTTCCAGCCATCTTTTGTTGCCTTCAATAAGACCCTGCAGCGTCTGGCTGTCCATCTCTGAGGTTTTAGACTGCATAGAGGAGAGACTACACACACACACACACACACACACACACACACACACACACACACACACACACACATTATTTAAAAAAAAAAGCTGATATTCCATGATGCTCTCCTGATTTTCTAAGAGAAAACAGAGTTACACATCCTCTACAAAGAACACACTACGTGGCATTTCTCTGCAGTTTTTAGTGCACAAAGTCTGTTTATTTGCTAAGTTTAAACAAAGTCCTTTTAGGAAAGTCTGTCTGCTTGATGGCCATCTTTGCAACACCTCAGGCACAAGACTGACTCCTGTATCGCTGAATGGGGAGAGACCTATAAAACCGAAACTACAAGCCAAATAAATATTTCAAAAACTTCTGAAATCAATGATACAATCTGACAAAAAGCTGCAAAAACAGTTTGTACCGTTTGGCTCAAATACACAAAAACATGATTTTTCAGCTACTGCGCATCCACAGACCTCCACAACACGGGCGGCTCTTCCTGCTAGTGGCCTAACCTGCAAGCTGACTGGCCCTTTTCACTGAAGGACGAGACTTTCCTCATAAACAGAGACGCCGTGCTGAGCTTTCTCATTGATTTTCCAAAGAGAGAGTGATTTACCCTGCAATTAAACAGTACCTGTGCATTACAGTCTCTGTAGAGGATGTGTTCACTTATTCCCACCAACAAAACATCTCATTTGACCAGGAGGGCTAAAGCTTTTCCACACGACTGTATTTGTATGCGTAAGTGTGTGAAGTCACCTCGCTGGAGTGTATCCGGAATACGCCGGTTGAGCTCTCGTTAGAAAGGGTGCACTGGTATCCATGGAAACCCCTGAAGTCAGAGAGAGCTTTGCTGAGATGATGCAGAGAGCAGGTTTAGAACAGAACAAACAGTTTCTGAACAGGACAAACAGTTTCCGAACGGGACAAACAGTTTCCGAACGGGACAAACAGTTTCCGAACAGGACAAACAGTTTCCGAACGGGACAAACAGTTTCCGAACGGGACAAACAGTTTCTGAACGGGACAAACAGTTTCCGAACGGGACAAACAGTTTCTGAACAGGACAAACAGTTTCCGAACGGGACAAACTGATTTTCAGTCAGCCTCATCTTTCCTGCCTTGATGATTTCATCGCCACTTTGAAATAAAAAACACTCTGATTGTTAATTTTATTAGAACTTCATTCTTATTGTTTTACAGCCGTCTTAAAGGCCCATACGGTCTCATCCATATACGCAAAGTAAGCTTAAAAGAACACAGCCTGTTTTGAATTCACTGGTTTTGTGACGTCACAGCTTCGCCCGCTCATTCACACTGAAGTCGAAAGGAGCTACTGTTATTGCGATGAATCAAGTCACTGTGAGTATATTGTGGATATCGTTGATACTTAAAAACACGTCCCAACTGCATGTTTGGTTACAAAGAGAGCATAATTGGTCCAGTTTATTTGGCTCCAGTGCAGCAGGTGAAATGATGTAAATAAATCATTATTCATAGTGTTTTTAAAATGAGGCTCCTTTGTGTGTTGCAACTTATCGGACGTCAAAGTAAATATGACGTATTACGTATCGTGAAAACTTCTAGAAGTGTTGTCATATCACACTTTTGCCATATTGCCCATCTACACTTCTTCTTACTAATTATTTGAGCCCTTGACGTTCAGGAGACTAAAAACACTGAATGGCCTCGTTTATCTGGACCAGCTCAGACCTACCAGGGAGGAATTTGCTCCAGTGAGAGCCGAGCAGATCAGATCCGCGCGTCGCCGTGATGCCGTTAACGCCGCTGCGTGTGAACCCGTTCTGATTGGTGATGGAGGATGAGGAGGCGGAGCTTGGAGGCCACGCCCACGTGGGGGCAGGAGGAAGAGAGGAGGGTCGATGAGACGGCCGAGAGAGCGGCTGGAGGGGGTTCGGAGGGGCCAGAGGGGGCGCTGTACTCTGGGTGATGGATCCTAACGCCCCCAACACCGTGTTCAACTGCCCGGAGATGTGCTGGAGTGATTCAGCCAACTGCTGCACCTTCAGTGGAACTGTGGGGGCTGGAGGAGAGGGAAAGAGAGATGGGATGAAATACGAAAGAGGAGACAGTCTGTGCCTTTAAGACTGATATGTAAATGACCTCTGTTCTCATTGGCTGCTCTGTACTGGGCTTCAATCACATCTGCTACTCTAATAAGATGGACCGCCTGCAGTAACAACTGGGGTACTAAACTGCTGCACGCCGAGTGGGCCGTCAAAGTCAGACATGTTCATTTGGTTATTGTTGTGACATCACAACCATGATGAACTGGTGAATATATATATATATGTGTGTGTCTTACCTGTTCCTTCTTGGCCATACACGCTGCTGATGTCTGAATCTGTGACGTCAAACGTGACTTTCCGGTCTCCCACCAGCCTCTCGCCATCATCACAGGACAGCTGAAACACACAGTTTTGCTTCGTTAGCTTTAATTGTAATTAACAGGTCAGAATTTGTAGCATAAGCTCGCTGCAGTGCTGAGCGGGAGAGGGAGGACCACCCCACCCACATTTACATGTACACATTTTGGCAGACACTCTTTTAGCAACACAACATGGACAAAGGTATTGATACATTGAAACCAAAACATTCTGGACAATTATACACTTCCGACTTTGTGGGAACAGTTTGGGGAAGAACCTTTCCTGTTCCAGCATGACTGAGCCCCAGTGCACAGAGCAGCTCCATAAAGGCCTGACTGGGTGAGTTTGGTGTGGAAGAGCTTGACTGACCCTCACAGAGCCCTGACCTCAACCCCATCAAACACCTTTGGGATGAACTAGAATGGAGATTGAGAGCCAGGACCTCTCGTCCAACATCAGTGTCTGACCTCACAAATGCTCTTTTAATTGAATGGACACATATTCCCACAGACTCTCTCCAACATCTTGTAGAAGCTTCCCAGAAGAGTGGAAGCTGTTAGAGCTGCAAAGGGGGACGAACTCCATATTAACGCCTATGGATTTAGAATGGGACTCATAACAGCTCCTGTAGGTGTGATGTGTAGGTGTCCCAATACTTCTGTCCATATAGTGTGCATCAGTGGTCTGATGTGTCAGTTAGATGTATATATTGCCTCGCCTCATTATAGCGCTGTATGACATGTTCTGTATTTTGTCTGATATCATCGGTCATGTTTATAAATGCTGCTTAAAGTTCTAGCAGCTTAGAACTTAAAACACCTTCCTGCGTCCCCCGTGTGCATTTACCCCAAAATTCATCAGCATCCGTCTTTAGCCCCTTTGTAGCAACCTAGTATATCACTTCACTTGAACTGCTACATAACATTGACACAACTAAGCTACAAACACGTCATGTTAGACGTCATATGCTGTTAAGAGCTGTCATAACAGATTATGTTCAGTAATATGACAGTGTTGCGTATCATGACAAGTGACGTAAGTTGAAATGACATCACACCTTATAACAACTGATGGTAATAGCAACATGACAGTGTTATATTACTGAACAAAATCTGCCATGATAGCAAGACATCTGCCATGACGTGTTTATGGCATGTTTATATCAGTGTTATGTAGTTCAAGTAAAGTGCTCCCAAACCTACTAACAAAGTAACCAGTAAAAACTAATAGTCGTGCTCCCTCTGGTGTGTGTTCACAAAGGCTGTGTGTTACCTCCTCGGCCAGTGAGGTCTCCAGCTGGCTGAGTTTCTCCTCCTTCTTTCTGAGGAGACTCTGACCTTTCTGTACCGTCTCCCTCAGTTCCTCCAAATGACTCGCCTCCTATAACGCAGGAGAAGATAAAAGGACTTAGACTTCAAGTATCCTGAAAGCAAAACTCCTTAAAGTGAGATAAAACAAATCTACTCTCTTAATAACTCATTAAAATCAAAGCCAAAGGGACACAGAACAGTGGACAGTAACATGAGGGAGGCCCTCAGCAGCAAAGACCACATATACAGTACTGTGTAAAAGTCTTCTAAGGCATTTAAGGGCATTATCTAATACTAATTAACATAAAGGCACTGATAACAGTCTTCAGTCCTCTGCAGCAGACGTCACTGACCGAAGTGCAGAGGATGAACTCGTATTAATCCAGTATTAGACTCTCATTATGGATTTGATATAAAGACCCACTGAGAGTCAGAAGAACATAAAATGCCTGAACTTTATCCTAAACAGACAGACACAGACCTGCTGAAGGTTGTGGTAGAGCTGGCTGGTGAAGCCCCCCGGTGAGGGGTCCTCCAGGGTGGTATGTGCTGCTCTCAGAGCTGCCTGTCTCTCTCTCAGACTGCCCGTCTGTCTCTCTAAAAACCGACGAGCTCTCTGCAGAGAAACGCCTTCACACGAGATGTACTCCCTCAAACTACAGAGAGAGAGAGAGAGAGAGAGAGAGAGAGAGACAGAGAATGGAAAGAAGAAAGAGGAAGAGAGAGAGAGAAAGATGGACAGATACAGAGAGAGAAAGAGAGTGAGAGAGAGATGGATACAAAGAAAGAGAGATGGATATAGAGAGAAAGAAGAAAGAGAGAGAGAGAGAGAGGGAATGAAGAAAAAAAGAAAAACAGAAGAAAGAGAAAGACAACGAGAGAGACAGAGAGGGAGGGAGAGAGAGAGAGGAGAGAAAGAGGAAGAGAGAGAAAGAATGGAAGGAAAAAAGGAAGTGAGAGGGAGAGAGGGAGACAGAAGAAAGAGAAAGAGAGGGAGAGAGGGAGACAGAAGAAAGAGAGAGAGAAAGAGAAAGGGAAGAGAGAGAAAGATGGATAGTAACAGATGGTTACAAAAAGATATATATATATATATATATATATATATATAGAGAGAGAGAGAGAGAGAGAGGGAATGAAGAAAAAAAGAAAAACAGAAGAAAGAGAAAGACAACGAGAGAGACAGAGAGGGAGGGAGAGAGAGAGAGAGGAGAGAAAGAGGAAGAGAGAGAAAGAATGGAAGGAAAAAAGGAAGTGAGAGGGAGAGAGGGAGACAGAAGAAAGAGAAAGAGAGGGAGAGAGGGAGACAGAAGAAAGAGAGAGAAAGAGAGAGAGAGAAAGAGAAAAGGGAAGAGAGAGAAAGATGGATAATAACAGATGATTACAAAAAGAAAGAAAAAAAATATATATATATATATATAGAGAGAGAGAGAGACAGTAAGAGAGAGAAAGAAAGAGAGAAAGAGAGAGAGAGAGTAAGAGAGAGGGAGAGAGACAGTAAGAGAGAGAGAGAGAGAGAGAGAGAGAGATACTGTGTGTTATTTATTGTGTAAATGAGGATATGAAGGTGTGAGACACACACTGAGACGTACTCGTCGATGCTGCTCTGACTCTCCCGGGACGCTGGCGGAGGAGAGAGAGGAGGCTGCAGGTCCTGCACTCGCAGTGTCTCTTCTTTCTCTCCATCCCTCTCTCCATTCCTCTTTCTTTCCTCTTCGCGCTCCGCACTGTCTCTCTGCTCCAGCTCACTGACAGACAAACACGCAAGTAAGACAAATTAAAGATACACTAAGAAAGCCTGTCAGTTCAGCAGTGGCTGTGCATGTGTGTGTGTGTGAGTGTGTGTGTGTGAGTGTGTGTGTGAGTGTGTGTGTGAGTGTGTGTGCGTGTGTGAGTGTGTGTGTATGTGTGCGTGAGTGTGTATCTGTGTGTGTGTGTGTGCGCGTGTGTGTGCGCGTGTGTGTGCGTGTGTGTGC